GGATTATTTGTAGTCCTGTTCATCACATATCAAATCACGAAATTCATACTTCATTGTATTACATAAATCGTGATTCAGCTCTAGTCAATTTTTAAAGTGATCTTCGCTCTACATCTCATAGCTAAATTCAAGTGAAATGTATTATAATCAGCTGCGGTTAGAGTGAGTATGTAAGAAAATTTGGCTTACTTGAAAGCATAAGTCTAAAATTGATTGATGCCTACAAGTCCGAAACTAAACGAGCATTCATTCAGTCTCCTAATTCATCATCATAATCGTTACCACGTTAGTTAATTAATGTCAGCTCTGCCTGGAGTCCTTTTAGGTTAACTGCTGATCTCAACACAGAATAACGGAAGGTTTTGGATGGATTTAGGGAAACAACTTCGTTGAAAAACCTTGCTGGAAAAACGCTCACCGGAAAAAATCATTTAAAACTGTTGATGATGTTATGGCCTATAACAAAAACTAAAACTAATGCTGTATTTCTGCACATTTCGTAAATTTATTCAATAATCGCTTCTCCTGCCTTCTTACGCTCTTTTTCAACTGTTGATTTTACGCTTTCAAGTACTGGAGCCGTATACCATATTAATCATAATCAAGCAGAGGACGAGACAAACCACTTCAACTCTGCCCGGGAGTTGAATGGTCTTTATGAGTTTAGAATCGAAAAATACAAGAACCTGTTCTTTCCTTGTATTGTCAATTAAAAGGGAATAAAGCACCAGAAAAGTTAGAAAAATGTCAAAAGCTTGAGTGATAAACAACATGCATTTATTGTGATGCTTGTAATACCCCTAGTTTCGATAGTCCAACCGTGTTTCTCATTTCTTTGTATCAATGATAATCTCTAAGAATGGCTAATAATATTATTTTGAAATTACGATTTGAGTCGATTTTACGTATCATGATATAAAGCCACATATAGTGTCTGTCAAGAACTTACATGTTGGAGATTTAGTTATTTTCCTGATAATTTAGTTAATTATAGCAGTAACCATTTGTCTATAATCCACCCAGTGTTCTACACCTCACATATTGCGTACGAAATATGTACGTTAATACGAAAAAAACCGTTTCTCACTCAGCTATAACCAGGTGAATAAAGTGGTTTTATAACTAAATGAGAACACAACACAAAGGTTTGTATTGCAAAGAAGCGTGGATAGTGATAGAATCCGTCACTTAAGAAACAATACTTTATTATTATTATTATTATTATTATTATTATTATTATTATTATTATTATACGTAGACTTCCTGTTCACCTGATATGTTAAAGACAAGTTTTAGTCAGTGTGAGTGAATAGAGTTTGATATTTTCAAAAATAACATCATAAACCGCATAATAATTCGTCACTTTGTGTTTCAGTAGTTAGTGAATAAACATTATAATGGTAATTATTAACTATTATTATACCAACAGCCACATAGGTATTTTAGTAATAATACTGTATTGTATAGACATGGACAGAACCATAAAAACAAGAGCCTTGTGTTATGGTATAGTCTTTTTTACAGTTTTCCCAAGTAATAATTTAGATTATTATCTTAATTATGTCTATTCACAGATAACTTATTCATATACAAGTGCCATGAAGAAAACATTTTTGGTATGATCACAAATGGAATCATATAAAAGAGTTTCAATAATTTTTGCACAATATCGACAATACTTTAACACGTTTCGTAATATGCAGAAGAATATAAACTCGACATTGAAAACGTGTTAAAATAACTTAACAACTATGTTTGTAAAAGAGAATATGGTAAAACAATATGATACTTATGATGCATAACATCCCAAATCAATCGGCTATGTAGAAAGACTTGATGGTATATTTAGAGTTCAAGTAATGGTACATTAGGATGATGCGATGAAAGTATCAATCGAAAGCAGGGTGAGGTCATTAAATATCAAATCGGAGCAGTCATATTTACGTGTAAAAAACGTAAATCATAAAATTTAATTTATTTACGTAAGTTTAATGAAACAGTTCATACTTCTTAATTAATAATTGTGGAATAGCAAGAGTAAAATATTTTGGGTATCGTTGTGGAGAACAAACGTATTGCTCGGGAAAATATGTGTGGCCTAGAGAGCGCTAGAAAATGTTCTGTGAATTCGATGTTGATTAGATGATTCTCAAAAACATCTAGAAAGTGAAGAGATGAGTCTCACCTTTATGATCGGATGATAACCTATGTCACCATTATATTAAATATGATCCAAGAAAATTCCAAAACCTGGTAGTCGTTTGTAAAACTAAAAACATTCTAATTTTCATGTACATAAACTAACTTTATTGTAAAACTTTTAAGCGCACTTCTCATATTTTGCGTTTTCTTGACATTGCCGTGTAGATTTAGCTTTCAGTTGTTATGAGCGTCTAGAAAATAGATTAAAACGTTCAGTTAGCAGGTATGTAAGATTAGTCATGGCGATAATAATAAATATAAACATAAACGGACTTTGAATATTTACATGAAGAATTCGTTCCACTGTCAAATAAATCGATACTGGACCTCAATTTTCACCTTAATTCTGAATATCGTTAGCGAAAATGCGAAGCCTTAAAAACAAACATCACAAACATCTTGTCTCAGTTGTCTGAAGGTGAGGGCCTACTGAGTATGTGGGTGAGGGCAAAAGACGAGAGAAGGGCAGTATATCTTCAAGAATGAACTACTTACCATTTAATGATTATATTCTGGCCGAAAATGTTCACCTTCAAGCACCAGTAGTGTGCTGTGATCATGATACAGCCGTAACGTGTCAACAGACGGGATACTACAGATGGATGACAACTACACTTACTTAGTTACAGCAGGACAAACAACACTGTCAATAAACAGTACATGGCCACGAGAGTGAAGTCGGTTAAAATCGAAAGACTACTGTGAGATATTGATGAATATTTTTCAAGAAGCTATCTGTTAATCATCCCCCTAGTGTAGGACCTGTATGGAAAGGAAAATTCTAATCTGAACCACTGTTTAAGAAGCATGTCTCAAGCAAAAGTGGAAACTTTAATAATGGTTTGCGAAACAGCACCTATTCCTTAGTGAGAAACCTAAGCAACTCCAAAGTTCCAGGCGACAGGAGATGTTTCTAGATCACGTCTATGGCGAAAATACAAGCTTGTTCAAAATATCTCTACATGGTTTAATTGCTCTGCTGTCTGATTTCATGATGATAATATGGCATTAAAGACTATAGAATATGTATTCTGCTTACTCTAGAATTAGTCTGTTGACGTACCCCATTAATAACAATACACACATAGAAATTTAAATACAAACACTGGTTACTGAATACGAAAAGAAATGCATGGGGACGGGAGTGAGGAAAACAGTAAACTCAGTGAGTGTTTGGTGACTCTGTCTCCATGACTATGAAAAAGTTGCAAGTAGGTAAGCAAATAAATTCCTACCAGTATACTTGCATAAAGCATACCCAGGGTTACACACGGATAGTTGAAATATATACGTATGTGTGAATATAACAACTTAAAAACTGTTTGGAATAATTCGTATGCCAAATGGTAAGATGGTTCACGTACGTCTGATAATGTATTAAGTGCTATGGGCACATGACCTCATAGAAACTTTCAAACCAAGAGACCTCTATACCTAAAAGGCATCACCCCGAAGTTGACAATGCTGCTATGCCTACCTTCTCAATAAGGATCATAATCTCTCGGAATAAATATAAAGATAGATAACAAAGTGGTGTGATAAATCTTCCTTAGCAGCGTGATATCTGTTCATTTTAGGGATCATACAGACCTAGAAAGCACACATCCGCTTGTATGACAAGATACAAAACCCACAGATAAGTACTGAAGCGGCTACAACCAAAGCAGAAGACGGTCAGAATGCTCGTAATAAACGATACCAAATATCTGAAACCAACAGCGGTGAATAAAGCACTAAAATAAATAGCTATGTAAGTCTCTGACATTGATTCTGATCTCTTTATTTTTACAAGATACATCTAGTTGAAGGCGCTCGGTCAATGATCCGCACAAGATCTCCAGTGGGTACTCAGTGCTACTCATCACTTTCAACTACCCTGCAGCTTAAACCAAACGTTCCTCGACATCCGATAGTGATTCAAATAAATCGTATAACCCCTTGATTTCTGACTTCCGATTTGACCGGTTGTCATACTTCCATTATAAATGTGTTATGAACAAGAGTGTTGTCAAACTTTGAATATTGTGATATCTTTATACTTTAACGTAGCTTCACAATGCGAGTGTAAGTAAATCCGTCGGTTTATTCAGGCTTGTTACAGGATATTGAATGTTATAGAAGTTGGTGTGTTTCAATGAAAACTATGTAAAGATTTATTCTTCGGTCTCTCCTACCTAAAGCTTCCTCTCAAGACACAGATACAAATCTTCGAAAGCGAAGGGTTTTTTGAATCAGAAAGATGTAATACACGGACTTCGATCTCCAATATTTATTAAGTTCTTCTATGGCTTGAAGTTATTTAGTGGATGGGGTTGAAGACGATAATTTTGAAGAAAGCAGTACAAAAGTGATGCAACGAATCATTGTGCAGAAACCTTACCTACTTCAGATAATAAAATTGTTAGAGAACAGCCAGCAGCAACTCTGAATAAGATTGAGTCGAATTAATAATCAAAGCTGAAAGTGAAAAACATAAGCTTTCAAATGTGCTACGTAAGATAAAATCTCTTACTTTAAAGATTAGTTTTTAATACCAAGTCACGAAATCGACAAACCTTTGTCAAAATACCCCATTCCCATTTACTTGAAGCAATAACGTTAACGATACTTACGATAAATAGTTTAATATACACTAATTGTTTTTATACTTGACGATTTTTTACTTGTGTTATTTTTCCAATTACATTAGCAAATACTTGAGTATGTATGGATACAATGTAAAGCGAACTCGAAGAAACCAGTCGATCTATACACTTCCATAAAGAAAATATTGGCTATAGGACAACACCTTCACTATAGTAACGTTGAGGTTCCCTTTTAAAATGTTACCTTTGAGGTCGTATAATTCTGGTGTTTTATTAGGTAACTGGTGGGAGGAGAGAATATTAGAAAAAGTATGTGGTTTTATGATAAATTTAATGCATTCAGGAAGAAAAGTCTGCGCGCTTCAGTAAAAATGAGGATAAGGTGTCATCTACACACTTTCTCAGTTTACTCACAGAAAGTAATCCTACTATGGTAGGCTTTATCAGCTGACTATACTACTGAATTAAGATTCAATGCTCAGCGATGCCGTCAGATGGATATTTGCGTTTTGGGTCTAATGTTCAGATATTAAATCCGGGATCATCTCCATATTACGTAAAATGTGGACTTGCGCCCACACGCCCACCTTATGCTCTTGGACTTTCGATAGATATCTCATGCAACTTAACTTTGGAACTTTCTAATTCCGATGACAATATTTTTCAGTCGTTGGGAAGAAACGGTCTACTGAGTGTTACCGCATCAAAGAATGTGCAGCCTTCTGCAAAAAATGTTTTCCGGATATTCTGGTTAGCCAATGAATAGAGTAGTTGATGTCAACATTTTTTTCCTAAAGAATAAAACTTCTGTATGTAGGTTCTTGTCTATCTATCAATGAAGGATTTTTTGCCAACTTCTTAGTGCAAAAACACTATCTTTTGCACTGTATCTTTTTCACAATATAGGTCAATTTTTTATTGTTGTGCATTGGCATTTTGATTTTACAGAGTGGGTTTCAAACAAATTTAGTTCAGTCAGTTATCTTAAGTTTTTAAAGCAGTTTCGCTAATGTTTCAGTGAAGATTACATACGAAACTACAAACAAATAAAAGGAAAAAAATTGAGAACAGAGGATTTATATTTATGAACACCATTTGAGCAAACACGGCCATTTCGGTCGTCAAAACTGCAATAGACTGCAAAGAAATCCTTTGGTCTTATCAACATTCATTATCAGGGAGAAATATCTACACATAAATACCAAACGCCAAGAAAACGATGGGAACGGGTTGAAAGTGAAAATACCATCAATCTTTTGCACTACTTTGAGTTAATTGTGTAGTTCTTGAATCTGCTAGTTTGTTGTTGCTTCTTGTATATATTTTCAGAAACATACGTCCCATCAGGTTTTAACTTTATCAGGCGTGATTTGCAATAGTGGCCAGTGATGCTTTCTTATTCAACAAAATTCATCTGGGTCACGTTTTTTTTTAGTTTATGGTTTTTTAAATGCTATTTCTGCTGTCTGCTATTAACTGCGTCTTAGTCTAGTTTGATATGGGGCGTGTCTTCTGCAGTTATCTTTCTAATTATTATACCAATGATGTTCACTGGTGTTACGAATTTTTTTAGGCACACTAAATGAGTGTATTTAAGCAATAGCCCAGTTCAAAATTTTAATAAACGAAGTTTCATAAAATTTAATTTTGTATGAATGTTAACAAATTCAAACAAATAATTTTACCTAATGACATGACACTAATTAGAATCTGTGGAAGAAGTTCAATTATTATTTGGACTCCATAATCTATATTCACATCTACAAAAGCATATGTGAATGATAGTAATACAGCATCGACTGGTATAAAGTGTTTTTGTTAATAAACTGATGTGATGAGTGGTTTAACAATAACATCAATCGCGAATCAGAAAACAACGCGACACATTTATTTTATGAGGTTTTTTTTCAGCATTCATTTTCTTAATCATATAGGCTCGATATTGATTAAAAAAGAGAAGTTTTATCTGATTCTTCGCGAGTTTGAGTCACTGAAAAACAACATAAACTTCTAAAAGTTTGATGTCATCTGAAACAGAATAAAACCATCGGCATTTCAGACTTACCAAAGCCTTATTTGTTCAAATTTCATTTATTTTTTCAATTCATATAGTTTACACGAGAGTCAATATGGTCGAGTAATTCGTTATGGTGAACCATTTGTGTTTGGATTACAGCCGGATATCATCTCATCAAAATGTAATGCTGCACTAAAGAAAAAGTTAAATACAGATCAATGCTTATATTTGGCTAGTGATTTACAACACCTAGGTGATCAAAATTTACAGCCAGGTGCGCAAAATCTATACTTCGAAGTTGGGAGACCATCATTTCTGTCTCAGTGGCGTTTAGAGTATGAAGATCCACATTTACGTAAGGAGTTTGAAGGTAGGCCAGTAAAGGTAAGAATGATAAATTTCTGGTTCAAATGAAACATTTTAAAGACATTAAAAAAATACGTATTTCAGATAAGTGTATTCCCCAACGTTACTGTTTCGCTACAAATAATACGTTCTTGAAGCTTCGGCTTGTTTTATTTTTTTTTGAAACTTATAATAATGATATTTTTACGAAAGACTCAGTAGCTCAGTAATTGATACGTCGTGGTTTTAATATTAAAGGCACTGGGTTTGATTCCAAGTTCAAACATTTCTGCGTTTCATGCACGTACTATTGAATAAACGCTTATCACGAATTCTACTACGGAATATACCCCATCTATTCAGATTTTATCTGTTGAATTTTTAATTTGGCAGTTTAGTAACAATGTATTACGTATAATATGTTAAGATTTTAATGTGGTAATTATCCCACTTCGTTAAATCAATCTTTCATAAGAGTGAGCTAATTATCAACATTTTTTAGGGGTCAATTTTAATTAGTTTTTAAATTTTAATCTCATTTTTGTTAATTAATCCAAACAATTATCTCATTTCACTTGTTTACTCCGCCTTATCCTTTTTTATAATCACTGAATCCGTTCCCTCAATCTTATGTATACACCTTACCAATGAGTTTTAACTAACGGAAATTGTACGTTCAAAGTTCGCTGTCCAGCACTTCAAACCACTTAAAAGCCCAAACAAACATTTGCAAGGATCTATTTGGTAATCACTAATATGAAAAACGTACATCTAATGTTTTATTTATTTCAGTAAAATAGCGTTATTGCACCGTCGATTAGCAAAAGGCGTATATTTACGATTAATTGTAACCATAAATACCTCGTTGGCGATAATAGCAGTAGTACTTTAGAATAACTGCATACTTAAAATGATATCGAATTGTTTATAGAAGCCATTTGAATTTTTATCTTATAACTTCTGATGTTTTGCTTCTTGATTTTTGTTTTATTTTAGTCTGACCAAAATTTAATCATCAAACATGTTCGAAGTAATAAAGCTTTAGCCTTAGAACCAGGTTTTACAGCTCGGTGAGATGAACTTCTGATTTTTGTATAGATTAGATTTTTGTTAACTATGGCGGTGGATCTCACTAATTTTGTATCATCAACGTATGTACGGTTGTAGTTTTAACATGTCTCATAGATTTCGACTGCAGGTGCACTTTCACACAGCCGTTGATTGTTTTTTTTATAGCTATCTATTAGATAGGTCAATTAAGTTAAGTCAATACTATTTTTACATTAAGTGCTCCTTTGGAATCTGCACCTATTTTCTAGCAATTTTCGCCTAGCCTTTCTATGCTTATTCAATAAACCTAGTATGCCTCTGTCAATTGATACACATCGGAATAGAAATAAACGTTCTTTAGGTAGTTCAATTCATATTGCTTCATTCTCCTGGTGATTGTGTTTGTTTTTCGTAGTGTGTCCACCGAGTTGCGATTACTGGAATATTGCCTCTTCAGTTTATATAATGTTTAAGAGCAAGTATTGTTTGAAAGCGAAATCTCACTGAAACTAATCGGTACACGTTCGAAAAACAATACAATATTTTCTCTCTTGTATATGAGCTCATAATTCTACTTAACCTGAAAGCAGTAGGTCAATTTCCGTACTCAGGTAACTTAAATAGGGATGATTAAATTTATCTTCACGACAATATTAGAAACAATAGTTAACAAAACAGTTTATCCTCTAATCCCATAATTTTTCAATGGCATTAATTATGTGTTTAAAGTTCAAACCATATTCTAGTACGTGAAATATATTTTACTATCTACTTCAAGTAATTTTAATTCGGACGTTACGATCTCAAACAAACGTATACAGCAAATTGAAAAAACTTTCGTCTAGTCATTGAATTATCAACCATTTTCATAAATCAAAATTTTGAAGAAGAACACTCTATGGAGGCAATAGATTCAATATACCTGTACCTCATGAGTTTATCACTTCCATACCGATGATACTATTTCGAATGATAGTGAATAATTTACCGGACATACTCATAAGTTCAACAACATACATTAGCATACCTATAGAGTTGTTCAATTAATTATTAACAATAATTGTCTGATTTCTTCTGTTTATTAGAACACTATTCGGACAAGAAACCTGCTTAAGCGTACGAACGTACTATGATTCCCATAAACTGGAGCGTGATGTCAATGTTTGGATGTTAGCAACAGCTAAACAACAAGGTTTATCATGTATTTCAGATGAACAAGCACCACACAAAGTTCTTGAAAATACTTCTTTAGAAAGTGATTATGCAGCAGGATCAAATCTTAGCGATGAAAAACGAGTTCATTTTGAGCAGAATACTGATGCATCTGATGCTTGAATAATAATAATATAAACTTTTATTATCTTATATGTGTTTAGTTAACTACTTAGAAGTTTAAAAGTAGTTAAACTGTGACAAACAATTATTCATCAATATGTGTAGGCGAAATTTTACAGTAGAATACCTATCAATTCATCATCCCGTATTATCTGAAGTATAAAATACAATTCTAATTCATGCACATCAAATCAACTGCTTTTGAAATGTTTACTAATAAATATTTCACAACAACCAAAATAGTGTTATTTATTCTAAAAAATTGTTTTTCTTATTTTGATGTAGGCGATAAATATCTATTTGAAATTACATAGTAAATGATGAAGGATAAACACTCATAATATTGTTTACTGCTAATGCATCGTCAACATTGGAAGAAAAATGCAACTCAAGTTAGCTATGGGTTCATATGCTCACTAGTGGCTAATTGCGTTTGGAAATCCTATTAGTCTTAGTGGAAAATAGTGACCATTGGAGTTCACAGTTGAAAGAAGTTAAATCAACTAATTCACCAAGTACATGCTAGTGGATCACATGATAAGTGTAAGGAATTATAATACTACCAGGTCTATCAAACCGAGGTAGGTATAACTCTGTTCAAATTTGAGACTTAGTGGCTGAAAGTCGAACATCTCAAATTGTAAGTCACTCCTCCACAGAGTTCGACAATCTCAAGTGTTAAGGGTTTGCTAACCGAAAATGATAAAAGATGGTTTCACATTATCTCAAACATATGATGTTGTAAAAGCATATCAATGGATGTTGATTGAACAATCGAAATTTAAGGTAATTACCACGAGAGCTGAAGGTGCTGGGTTTAGTCTTACTTGAACCGGGGAATATGCACTTCTAAAGAATCCCATACTAGGACGAAATATCCGTCCATTACTAACTGATTTTCAATGGTTATCTAAGTTAGACCATTTATTGATCTCTAAAACATTTGAAGATTCTTGTGATACTGATAATTATCTCTGGATTTCGATAACTTGCTTTTTGTGATAAATCTATGGAATAACTCAATAGAAATAACCTACATCTGTAATTCATTCAAGTTAACCGCACACACATTGTGAAGAGTTGGCAAAACGTAAACAGAAATACTCCAAAAATAATAAAAGCGGTTCGGAAAATGAAATCCTAGAAAATCTGCGTTTTCACTATTTATTATCAGAATGGGTTTTGTGGAGATTTTAGAAAATTCACTAATTGGAATCATGAGTCAATTGAAGCTAGACCACCATGGAAAACCTGGAAGCACCAGATGGCCGTTTCGTCTTAGTATGGGACTACACAGCAGTGCGCATCCACAATCTAGTGAGAAGTCGTTACCAGTGGAGTTCAACCAGGTTTCCACTATTTGTTTAAAATGAAAAGTTAAATATTTTACGACAATACCTCATTTATTTTGCTCTCATTTTGTATATCTGTCTATTTTTTCAATGGAGAAATTACAAAAAACCTTTGACTGTTCAGCTTCATGCTTAACGTGTTTTGTAAATGAGATAATTCTATTCGGATTCATAGGTCAATCCATGAATTTGAATGAAATACTGGGAAGTTGTTATTTATAGGTCGTTTTGAGTCAGAGAAATTGATAAATTGTCATAAAATTGTGATTTATCTATATGAATATACCATGTTTTCCTAGTTTAATATATCACTTAGAATACAACAATTCTTCAAAGAAATTGGTTACTTAAGAAGTCAGCGAAATAAATGAACAGAAGGATTTCCTTTTAGAAACAATATCTGACATACATCATAACAATACCATGTCTTCAGTATAAAAAAATCCTAAAGTCTAGTTCAAATGTAATGGTTTTAAAGAGATGCATAAATAAGTACTACAAATAGTAACTAGAGAATATATTCATAGATTGAAATCATGAGTCAGTTGAAGCTACACCACCATTGAAAACCTGGAAGCTCTGGACGACCGTTTCGTCCTAGTATGGGACTCCTCAGCAGTGCGCATCCACGATCCCGCACCCTGCGGGATTCGAACCCAGGACCTACTGGCTTTGCGCGCACTGCTGTGGAGTCTCATACTAGGACGAAATGGCCGTCCAGTGCTTCCAGGTTTTCAATGGTGGTCTAGCCTCAACTGACTCATGATTTCAACCTGTGAAATTTCTAAAATCTCCACAAACCCCTTCTGATAATATATTCATAGTAAATTCTATTGTGTTAGACATAAATTAGTAATAGGAAGTTGACTAGCTGAATATCTTAACAATGTTGATAATTATCGTTACCTTGGTAATCCTTAAGTCATTTTATGGCCTAGGATAACGCGACAATTTCTTATTCTTTCTCTCCTCTTAGTTATTTTAATTGAATTTTTACTTGTTTGACCTTTAGTATTTTCATATATAAAAATGCCCTGACAAGTATGTGTGACCAGATTGTTCGAAATGTATAGCGCAAATACATTACATTTTTCAAATCAACTCCGTCTTCTCATTGTTCTATCGAAATCATCGTTACTCTTTGTGGATTCGAAACAGGTCTATAATAATGCTCTTAAAAATGAAATCTGAATATCTATGCACTAAGCCATAAATTAATTTAGTTCACTAAAAGAATACTTTCCAATAATTTCATATTCGATGTTGTACAATCGTTTATTTTTCTGCATTATGGTTTTCAACTGATTGCATGAAGATTAAAAAATGCATTAGTACCATTTAAAATATTGAACACCTTAAATAGACCAAGGGAATGAAAGTCAGGTATTATGGAAGACAAATCGGTTCATAAATATCTTGAATAGAATAAAAAAATAAGCATAATTCAACAAGTTGAAATCATCTAGTTTCACCACATACAAACGTAAAAAGTATCCCTTAGTTAAATAGTCTAGAATAGTTAAAGCTATACGTAGCTAAATCATAGTATCGTTAATTTACAAAGTAGGAAATACAAGACTTGAAATCAATTTGAAATCAAGTTAATATTCTTTAAGTTATACATTTAACTTTATTGGTGTTGTGGAGAAGGTTAGTTTTGAATAAGGTGGTGATGTTTTAGAATACTGATTGATTATTTCTGAACATTCTGTTACACAAGGACCATGTGGTTTATTAACAACCAAATTAATATCAACGTGATCGTTCTCGTTTATACTATATATACATAACTAATATATAGTAAAGACGTTAAACTACAGAAGAATGTGGATGACTAATTAGACAAAGAAATGATTAGATGAAAGAATTAATCTTTTAAGTTGCTTTTAGACACTGGTCGATGTGAAATGACTAATAGCTGCAAAGAAAGTTCATTTAAGAAAGTTATAAATACTGCTCTTTAAGATGTCTTCATTTTTATGACATTGGAGACTAAGTTTAGAAACCGCAGTTTCTATAATCTAAAGTTACCTCAATTCTTCGAGTGTACTCAGTTAATAATTTCATAAGAAAGATAATTATCTTTCTTATGACTTCATTTTTTTATTGACTACATGGCATAATGTTTATTCTTACTTTAGTCACCTCCTAGCTTACTTCCAACCTACCTCTTCATTAGTCAACATAGTAAGAATGTTGATGGGAGCTGAATATTTAATGCTTTCTTTCATTTCTCAAAACAGTTACGTTGAACTTTATTCACTCAATGGACATCTCATAAATGTTCAGAATATGTTACATTATTTTTTTCTGCATTAATAACAGCGATAAGTGTATGTTTTAAAAATGGATAGAGTATCAAAAGCCAGATTTTACTTGCCTTTTTCACTATGGCTTCGTAATGACAATGTTTAAATACAGTACTGTTGAGAAGTAATCAAATAAAATTTCTGTAGACAAACTTAATCCTACATAAGGTAGTTTGCCTGACAAATTCCCCTATTTAGCTGTAAATATATAGCAAATATGCATTTTCATATCAAGAAGGGATTTGTATAAGATGAACATTGAAAAACAGGAAAAAGAGAGTAGTTATTTCGTCATGTCAGACTCATCAGCAATGACCATCCACAACCTCTCCAGAGATTGAACCCAAGATCAACGAACTTCGAGGTAATCATTTGATCTTTAGTTCACTGAATCGCTATCCAATCATCTATGTGTTAAATGATTGAAGATAATCGATAGGAAACCCTCAAAATACGTTTCATAATAGTTGCTACTAGTCAACACAGCGTACCTACAATTTTGAGGAAACTGGTTTTCAATATGACTCAGTTATTATTTAAGGGACTGGACAAACGTAAATTTGGCCATTGCTTGAAGCATATCAGTTGAAAATATCTCAGTTTTACAGGAGACCAACTACTTCCCGAATAGCTCAGTGCTAATATTCTAAACTGTGAAATTAGGTTACAAAGGATTGAATTCCAATGAAAGCATTATTTCCACCAACAATACAGGTACATCTTGCTGACGAGTCCCAACTAGCATGAAACACATTCCGGGTGTTTCCTTCTCAATACCTTTAACCGTCTAAAATCTCAACACAGTGAGAACAACATCGATTCGCTCAGACCGGTAACCGCGTTGTAACTTGGTCATTCACTAGTAAGGAATAGAAAATCATGGCATTGGTTGCTGGTCAGTGAAAAATTAGTTTTGATAGTTTACATACTGAGCGGTCAATATCTATTGACATAAGTGAATACAGTCTGTGATGTAAAACTCTAAATTCAGCAGACTCCACATCACAAACTGTTATTCATAAAAAAAATCTATGCGGTGTGTACTTTTGAAAAGTCTTCTAAACAGCTTTTATTATTGAATTCAAGAATCCGTAGTTTCGTGTTTCAAAATACCTGACCTCCACTTAGTGGGTTCTAACTTCAAATCTTACTCTGATTACGATTGTTTTAATCAATCGAGTTACATAATTAGTATGGAAAAAAGATGGGTAAATAAGCTAATACTTACTGTGAGCTACGTAATGGTTGACTAAACCGAAAACTTAAATGCCTTTTGGTAAGACACGTTCAGATTAAAATTCGCTCGTTTGCTACATCATACCAACTTCAGTCGTAATGCTCGTTAATTATCGATTTAAGAACGAGTACTCAACTTTGCTGAATATATATCAACAATGAAGAAGTTCTGAAAAGCTTTTGCAACATAATGTGTGACTTCTGAACAATGAACACCCTCTATCTTACCACGAAGTTGATCCCAGGACTTTCAGGTTTTAAATTTCAAACCACTGAGTTAACTCCCACTGATTTACATCACTGACAAGTCAACTGAGCCATGTTGGTAAGTGTAGACTTCCTGGTTGGGATCTGCGAGATGATAGCAACCAATGGTTAGAGACCTTGAATGAAATGGCTCAAAATCTTTTGTAATGGCGCATGTGCATCCACTCGTTTTGTTCTCCCAAATTCTAATATTCTGAATTCTTCATGTCCCTTTCTTCTCCACTGGATTGTACTCTTTGAATAACATCTTCAAACCCTAATCTTTACGATTACTGCTTATACTCTTACAACCTCTACCACTACGGGATTTGAATTGACAACTGCATCTCTATGGCTAATGTGGTATGACAACTCGAACTGATGTACGTACGTACGAAGTTCTACTTTGTTACTGACTGACTGATTTACATTACTAACTTCAATCAATTTTGCATACTCCGTAATCATCATTCTATTTTCCATTAAATGAGACAATTCTATCAGCGTCATATAAACTCAAGTCTGAAATATACATAAACGAACACATCTGTTCAATAATCAACAACAGTGACAGTTCAGATTTACTTAGACGAACTGAGAGGAAAAAAGCAAAACAATAAGAAACTTATTCATTATTCAATTGTTTGTATTGCTGTTGTTTGTTTGTTCGTTTGTTTTTTATTTGACCAAAACGTACATCACATCTATTGAAGATTCAAATCAAAAATGGATATATTTCATTTCCTGTTATCCTCTTAACTTAATTTTATATCAAAGAGATAGTAAGATCGATGTGTTTTTTAAAAAAGATCTCACAAATCATCGATTTAAAAAAATGTGGGTTCATTGAATCAAACAAAAAATATTATAGCGGAATAATTGAAACAATGAAAATGCGTGTTGTTTGCCTGTGTGTGTGTGAGTGCATAGATAAGTAAAAATCCTTTATGGAATGATACAATAGATGAATATATAACACAATAGATCGGTATTTTACAGCTTATACCAGAATTATAAAACGTTTACTGTTTATTAGTAATATTATAATAAATTTATATATCTAATAATGAGTTTAAAAATTGAAATTCGTATTCGAATTATTAAAACAAACAAAGAGTTCAATGTTCAATGCTCAAGATTCTTATTATCTTCCAAAAAAAATTTAAGAAGTTACATTTAATAGTAATGATATCCATATATATATATATATATATATATATATATATATATATATATATATATATATATATATTTCAAGTCAAATCGATAATTTGTGTTGCATAATGACTCTATTCTACGTGTATATGGTTGGTTGACTGAGTTGACGGGTTATGTGAATATGTCTTGTGAATAAGTCAGTCAGATAAAATCATACGGTATGTTCAAAACTAGAAATAAATTTTTCAAAGAAAAAAAGAAAGAAGACATATAGAAAATAAGAACTCAAACACACGGAAGGACAATTATGAATTTTCATTTGAATTAAGTGAAAAATGAAATGTAAACACATTCTACGTTTGATCTATAATTGGTTAAATGGATTGTATTAGGTATACAAGTTTGAATACGGATAACTAGTGTATAAAAAAAGTGATATTTATATCATATAAGACTGGTGAATCACTGAGTAGTGATCAATGTCATATTTTTCAAGTTCTTTATAACCCTGATCTAATTCTATTTATCATGTTGTAATGTTGCCACTACTGTAGATGACTCGGCATTGGATGCACGATGTTGAGATGTTAGGTGGTAGGAGTTAGTAAATATGTTTCGTACTATCGGGAATTCTTTGGTAAGGTGAACCTAGAATCATTAGAAAAATGGCGGCCCTTGACTGATTTGATCGATTATCATGTAGCTATTTAACATGAGACATCAACTATAAGCTTTTCAGGCCGTGATTGGTTTATTGTTGATTACCTCAACCACCTAACGTATTCATGTTGTATTGTAGGGATTTAGTTTTTTCCTTCATTGACAATAAAGATCGTAACCGAACACATATTTCAACTTTACGAAAATAAAACGTCACTCAATGCCTGCCTTGAAGTATTTCAAACATGTTGCCCACTCGGTTTCAGTCCCTAATATCAATAGTGGGTAAACTCGGACCCTCAAAATATATACAATTTCACATTTGCTGAGCAAGTCAGTGAGTATTCGAACTCTGTAGCCCAGGGGATAATGTATTTGGGTCTGAAACGACAGATACTGAGTTTCTAATTAGCGTTAAAATTAACATTTTGATGTAGATTTATCCTAAATTAGGACGAAACTCAAATTATAAATTCCGCTGTTAATAACAATTTAACTTTATTAAAAATAAAAATGGGATCAAATAGATGGAGTTACAGAAGTAGATACGAAAAATTACTGATCAAAAGAAGTCAACAATACTAATCATCTAGAAAAGCTTTAATAGTTGAATTCGCAAGTCGGTTAAGACTAGACCACCATGGAAAACCTGGAAACACTGGACGGCCTTTTCGTCCTAGTATGGGACTCCTCAGCAGTGTTCACTTCCATCAAGGTTGTTTTTACCTTAGTATTGACGGTATAATGTTGAAACATCATCTAGTATCCGTGAGAAGAATTGGAAAGTTACATTGAATCACCTTAAAAACTATTCAAATCTCAGTAAAGGATATTTAAAAAAAGAAATCAACTAGCTTCCCTATCGAATATAAGGTAATCTTGAAAAATGAACCAATTAACTACTTTAGCTTAACAGAAAAGCTCAGGATTAATTTCTTTTTACTTTGCAACAATCAATTTTTTTCTTGTTTTATTATTCTATACTCACACAAGCTAATGAATGAAATAAAATCTTCAAAGTCATTTCAAATGTTGCTCCATTTTGTAAACACAGTTTAATCAGAAACGTTATTTTAGTATATTCTATTGTAATCCTATTATTACCTTTTTAAATCTCCTATTAAGCTTTGCTGAAGATCATTGTACATACAGAGTTTTCACTATTGATGTTAAGAGTTACTAATCTATTGACTAATAAATGTATTGCTTATTTATTAAAGGTTTCATTAGATATACTGAAAATATACGAACAATTTAAATGTTGATTATCAACTATATAATGGATCGTTTAAACACAATACTACATTGAGATTAGATGATGGTTGGAGGTAGTCGACAGAAAACCCTGAACCTGGGTTTCGTGCTACTTGGCACTCGTCAACAAGGTGTACCTGCAATCTTGAGGGATGGCTCAGTGGTAACGTCTCTGACTGTGAAGCTGGGTGACACGAGATCGAATCCACCAGGGAGCACCAGTTCCCTCAAGATTACAGATACACCTTGTTGACGAGTGCCAAGCAGCACGAAACCCGGGTTCAGGGTTTCCTGTCGATTACCTCCAACCACCATCTAATCTCAATATGTAGTGCACGCAATGTCGAGTCACCTAGACTGGTGGCCACATTGCAGCATAATCGATAGCACTCGATCTGCACTAATAAAGACTAGACACGCATGACATTGATCGCCACCCAGTGATCAATCAATTATGATTACAATACTACATTTCAATATGGTGATATTTCATGGTTTATATCATGAATTAATTTTGGTTGCATAACTTTTAAGAGATATAAAACACTGTAAAATTGTTTCGGGCAGCTGCTGAACATTGCATATCCACGACTTTACTAGTGATTGAACCTAAAATATTCAGGTTGCAAAAGTCCCATATAAGATAGAAAGTGTTTTATCCCGTTGTATACAATCATTATATGTGAATATTTAATTAAATTTTCCATAAGTTTACTTTAAAATTATTAACTTGTACAATTTTGAAATCGAATACGACTACACTAATTAGTTTAAGTTACTTCTTTATAACATGTAAACATATTTGTAGGATAATATAATGTGTACGAATGATTATCATAATAACAATCTATGAAATGTATTTAAATTAGCTGGAATAATTTATTATAGGATTTCAAATTAGTGATCAGAAGTATTCTGGTAGCCTTGAGACTTTAAAGTCCCTTCCAGGTTGAGATCATCTTGAGATCAAGTGCTTGTATATATGTGTTAGATAGTTCGAGTTAGTCGACAGGAAACTCTGAACTTAGGTTCAGTGCTAGTTAGCACTCTTCAAAGAGAGGTGCGTCTACAATTTTCGGAGGATTAATAATCCCTAGCGGATTCAGATCCACGTTACTCAGCTTCACAGTTGAAGATATCACCGCTGATCTATTCAGACAACGAATGCTGAATAATTAATTATATGATGTAATCGGAAATCCAAACTATTGAACATAGAACTTACCATTGTTTCGATCCAGTTGAAATTCCGAAATTACTACTGTTTGCTGTATTATTATTTTTATAGGAAATACTATTTTTCATTTCAAGCTTTCTTGGCGGTTTACTCGGTGCATTCAACGATCCATATTGACCAGAATTTGGAATTGCATTTGGTTTAAGCATAGGTGAAGGTTTTGTAGGAGGTAATTTAGATATCGGTGGATTTTCACGTTCACGATGTACAACTACAGTTGAAGCCTGCGTTTTCATAGTATGATGAGTAGATTTATTTGAATGAGACAAATCAGGACTATTATTTGTTTTATTCATTTCATTGAAAAAGTCTTTTCTTGTTTGTTCTTTAGATTGGAGCAGTCTTTCACGTCTATCACGTTTATCTTCAATAGTTTCACGTTTAGCAAAACTTGGTCTTGAAGTAAAACGTTTACTTGGTACACGACGAAAACTTGACGTAGTACCTTTACTACCACAAATCGGTTGTACACTTGATTTGCCTGGTACCGGAGAAGATGGTTTTGGTGGGTTCGGTGACGATGGAGCACTACTGACAACAGTAGGACTGGCCTTTTTACGTTTACGAAAACTACTACTTCCAAACATATTTAAATTATGCAATTGATATTCCGTATGAAATGATGGATGAAAACGTGATCTTAATCGAAATAATTGTTTCTGTTTTGGTTCCGCTGGGACACGATCAGTAAGACGAAAGAAGGCATGATGTTCTACGGCACTTTTCCACAAAATTTTACACATTTTATTATCCGTTAAAACAAAACAAAATGCATGTTCTGTGATTTTATGCTAAATATTTTTTAGATGAAAAGAAAAATTAAATTATACAACAAAGATAATCATTTTTAAGTAACTAAATTAAGGAACATGAAGTGATATGAGTTAAAGGCATTATTATAATCATGAAGACAATGAAAGTCAACGAAAGGTATATGACAATTATTAACCCTATCTAATGTTAGTCATTTAACTATTGATATCAGAAACTATATTTTCATCAGCCCTTGTTGGTATATGTATACCCAGTGTGGATTGTCACGATATAGTCATTTGATAACCGAATTTATTTTAAGAATAAAGAGATTGTGTTTAGCATCGGAATTCAAGATGCACGTATACTAACAAAGACTGAATAAAATTGTCCTGGATGTAAACAAAGGAATAATTCAAACCTTTTCTAATAATAACACAAACATCATATGCGTTAGAAAGGGTAGTGACTATCTAGAACTAATATCTCAATCGATAACGCGTTTCCGTTTGAGGGTAAAGGTACTAGGTTCGAGTCCTAGTGTGAACTAAACATTAAGATATAGATATATCTAGTTGACAAATCTCAAATAGAACGACACGTGTATTCTAAATTCTACTGCTCAACATGAGGCATGAGTTCTATGAAAAAGATCACTTATTTGACAAGAATTTAATTTTTTCTATATAACTACGAAAGTCTATCTCAGTATAATCGAACCGACCACTGTAGAACTTATTTATAATGTTCGAAAGTTGTTTACATCATAAACTGACTTTTACCAGATAGCCAATAAAAACTAGAAAAAGAACATTTGTTTCGTTCTAGTTTAGAATTCTAATCAATTAAAACCTTTAACCGTGTCAGAGAATGAACCCAGGAACTTCATATTTCACAGTGACTACATTCCCTTTTGAACGGTGGAATTGAGGCTATTCAATGCTTTATTATTAGAAACTCAATCAGTTCTTGTTATATCCGGACGAAGAATAGGTGAATAGTAACCAATAGGATCTATTTGTGGACCATTATTTTACATATTCTTACTGTAACTGTATTATATGTATATTCGTATTCCTTTTATTATAAGCTTCCATTTGACCTATTGACTATTGTCATATGAATTACTATTCTTAAGATATTCCCAATTTATTAGTAATAGTTTCTCACAAATACAGTGACTTTATGGCCTGATCCTGTATAAGTATTATTTTCTATCTTGTGTGTGTTCAGGTCTAATTTATTTGTATATAAATCCAGTATTTCTGAAATATATTATTCGTATCGCGAAAGCTAATATTGACGTTCTGGACTTAGCCGGCTAGGTTAGGAGAGAAGCTACAATCTCAGTGGACCAACAAGAACTCATGATTGATTCTGGACTGCTCGTACTGGTTTATGAGTCATTGGCCTGGTCAGTAAGTTGATGTTGTAACTGGCGTTTGCATCACATGATACATTAATCAGGTCAGAAGGACATAACAGTTTTCAGTACTGATTAATCGAGAAAAATAAACTAATCAAGTTAACAAGTAATAAGATATATTTTAAAGCAAATAGTTTTTGAATAGCAGTGGAGTTCAGGGTACACGTTTCGTCCTAGTAGAGACATCGGCTAGATGTACTCATATCTTGATATTAATTTCATACTGGGACTCGAACCCAGTACCTTTACCTTCAAACAGAAATGCGTTATCCATTGAACTACTAGTTCCATTTAATCACTAACCTCTTTAACGCATATGATTTTTGTATCGTTATTAGAAAGGGTTTGAATTATCTCGTATTTCATATTTAAGAGGGAACTTACATGACAACTAAAATTATTCAAAATGAAGTCATGGATATTAAATACGAGATAATTCAAGCTCTTTCTTACAGTATGGTTAATAGGACATATGTTATGAATTTTATTTACAATAAAAGAATTTTATATCAATCTGAATGTCGAATACAACGTTGTTTTAATTAAGCCTATACTCCACGCTTGATATAAAGTCATATGAATTAATTATCTTTTAAAATAATTATAAACCAGACCTGTTGTACATTAATAAAGCATTATCATTAAGACATGCTCGAATGAATTTCCAAATTAATGTTCAATCGTTTAGCTTGGTAAACTCATAAACTACACCATGATTATCAATGAAACCATGAAAAAGTTATACTTGGCTCTTTTATTTTTCTAACTAACTAGTCATGATGCATCATTGAAATCATGAATCAATCAATGCTAGACATTGATGTTAACATTAGAGTTAGACATTCACACCGTTGAATGTCGGCTCAATGGTCTAGAAGATAAGTGTTCGCGCGCAAGACCGAAGGTCTTGGGTTTGATTCAGTCGTACAGGACCGGGGATACCCACTGTTGAGAAGTCTCACAACAGGATGAAATGGTGGTCAACTGTTCAATGATAGTCTGACATTGATCGATTTATGATTTCACTTATGCATCGTGATTAGTTAGCCAGGAAAATAAGATTGTTGAAAATAGGTTTTTCTTCAAAATGAAGATTAGTTTGAATATGGTTTTACTAATCAATAAAATATGAATGCATTTGCATGTTGTCATCACGCTTCATCTTTATTCAAATACCTATTTCTTATTGATTAATAGACAGTTTATTGTGTGTATTTGCTTATACCAATCTATACGTACATACATACATATATGTGGATACGTGCACATATATTTGCACACACATATATATGTATGTGACCAAGTACACGTTTGCGTGAGAGTAGGTGTTTATCAACTCACGATTAGTATTCTCATTCGATGTGTTTATCACATTATCTTAAATTATGCATAATTTCAATGATAATTTAATTCGTTTGATTGTTTTACATGTGGACAATCTGTTGCTTAGATACATTTTGTGTGATGCAATGAGTAAAGTATTTGTCAATTAATCATATAGTTGTGTTTGTTATTTGAGAATTCTAAGTGTCAAAATCACCATATTTTGTTGAAAACTTAATGGACAAATGTAAAGTATAAATTTTGAAAATCTGATTTACTTAAGTCATTTGTGTCGATCAATAATTGATTACAGTACATTCAGATAAATGTATCCGGCTAATCTGTTGTAGTTGAAAACAAGAAGAAATACTCTGACCAATGACTAAGTTATAGCTAATATGATCTCTTTAGAATTTATGGCCTATCGAATTTTACCAGTCAGGTTGCTATGTGACCACCAGACTAATATGTGCCAATATTAGGTGATTGGAGGTAGCTAGTAGCAAAACCGGGACATGGGTTTAACACCACTTGGTACTTCTTTGAAGGTCCAGGGTAAAAACCGACAATGTGATGTCGATACATTCAACTGGGATAGGTGATATACACATCCTGGATTCAACTGCTATTCTGTCTTAAAATTTAGTAAACGTGTAATTAGAAGAGACACTGGGGCATCCATTGTGTTCATAACAAAACATTTATAAACTATTATTCTAATTTTTCAATTAACTCATGGTCATCATCGTGACTCTATATTAAATATAAGGTCAATAAAGCAAAAAAATAGGCAGTACAAACATGTTTTGGATGAAAAGCTTAAGTATAATAATGTGTTCTTCTACAACCTACAACATTTTTATAAAATGTTGAATCTTGAGGCATATCGTAAGTTGAATGAGATTTTACAAATACCTTTAAAAGCTGTCTTGATATAAAGTGGATGTATATGTCAAATATGTCCTCATAGTTCGAGCATTTCAAGAAAACAAAGCCTACCTATGATCCTGCAACGAATGGAATTATACTCCTTTGTATATCAAGACAATCATGCTACCAATCAACTACTCATTTTCAACGTAATAATATCCAACTCAAACTTTATTCTGTTATCGACCAAAAACGTAAGCAAATTTGATATTATCAGTGAACAACGATTTTATTCTCAAAATAGATGACCTCACAAAACTTCAAGAGACCTATTACGACTTTAGTAACTAGTAAGCTCCAAACAGTATTGGGTCAAATAGGTTAGGAGTCACCATATATAAAACTGGTAAAAGTTAGAATATGATTTCAAATGAATGTGACCTAATGATATTATCCTATTCATTCGAATGCCAAAAGACAGATTCAAGTATGTTTTTCATAGTGAGTAAGTATATCAGTAACCTCACAAACTAGATAACAAAATTATTTCAATAGTTAAGATCATGAGTCAGTTGAAGCTAGACCACCATGCAAAACCAGTGCTTCCAGGTTTTCCATGGTGGTCTAGCTTCAACTGACTCATGATCTTAACCATTGAAATTACTATAATATCCACAAAACCCATCTGATATTAAACAAAATCCTTATTAATCGGCGTTTTCGTTTATTTACAACTATTATTTAGTTGATACCCTTTTAAACTAAATACAAATTAAACCATTGAAATAAATGTATATGTGGACAAAAGAAGTGTAACTCACACTTTTCTCATCTTCATCGGCAACTAAAATTTTGAGTTTATTCTTTTTCATTTCTAACTTTAAAATTTTTGGCCTAAATGATAAAATGAATACGTGAATAAAAAAAAGAAAATACACATTTGACGGTAATTTAAATAGTTCAGTTGAAAGTTATTAGAAATGACTGATTGATCCATCTTGTGGTAAATTCATTGATTTGACTTGAGTGAATCTAATAAATACAACATCAAAGTAAATCTACCCTCTCTCTCTCTCTCTCCGTTACTTTTTGTCTCTGGGATAGAAACTACTAGCAATTACAATACTAATAAACTGATGAAATATGTAATTAAAACTTAGATCAGTATGAATGCAATTTATCATACATATACATGTTATTCTCGGGTCTTTTTATATAGATTCTAAGTGTCCATGTTCTTCACAAAAGTTTTCATTAAAACTCACCATCGGTTATACAAAACCAGCCTTTTTGAAACTATATATAGTACTGTTTAAACTACAGATGCAAGGATCGAATTTAACATTACAATCCGATTAAGATGGTCATTTGAACTCGTCCACTACAACATTTACACCTTTGTTCATTTTGAAACAATTGTATAGAACTCCATTATTTTTCACCAACAATTTAGCAATAGTGTTTAAAATGATAATGTTTAACAAATAAATCTACACTAAAATCTTATCCAAGTATATTCTCTTTGAAAAAAAGACATCAAGTTTATAGACTGAAATTTTTCAAGATCATCTATCGACAATCAAACCCTTATATTCTTAAATGTGTCGAAGTGATAGTCATCAAACGATTATTGTATACAAAAAGAAGATGGTAATAAATCTTTCTTTACCATGGTGACGGTACGCTCATTTTATTTCATCATTCTTGCAACTCTCTCTTTAATTTCGATCATATCACTTCCTTGAAATTTACAAGTTCATTTCAACTGACTGATTTCTATTCAGCTTACTCTAAATGACCATAAATGTGTGTTCGTTTACTTCATTACATATTCAAATGTTGATTTTATTAAGCATTAAAATATCGGACAGTAAGACGTGGATAATGAGAAAAGTTAACGATGAAAAAATGACGATTAATTACATTTTAGCCCACAAATGTAGTCTATGTCTACTACTTAACACAGATTAAAGATTGACGCCAATGGATGCTACCTCAGTGGTCTAAGAGCTAAGTGTTCGTTCGCGGGACCAGAGATCTTGAACTCGACTCCGGCGTGCGAGATCGTGAATGAGCACTGCTGAGAAATCTCATACTAAAACGGCACTCTCGTACTCCCAATGGTAGTTCAACCTATATTGGTTCACGATTTCAATGAAATACTAAAGATATGTTAATTTATTTAATTATTTATTCTCTGAACAATTTGCTTACACTGAGCGACATAATGTTACTTAATTCAAGTTTCTACTCATTGGTATATTGCAAATATATACCATTACTTTTATCGTTAATAATCTACTTAATACTTAGTTTATTTGAAATTATCAAGTCAAACCTTGGTAACGATATCTATGTCGATCATTTTATGTATCCGTAATCAAGTGCTTTTTTTCAAAACGTTAAAGTATATGTATAATCATAAAAAACAAATGCATAATTGTGATGTTAAAACATCAAAACACATTTTTGTCGGAATAAAACTACGTGTGATATCAACAGGTTGAATAGACATATGGTCCAAGGCGTGATTAGTAGTAGCCATTTTTTTCTGCTCAGGGTGTTCTAACTAGCCCATATATACAGCGTTTGTGCAGTCGCTCTTTTTTGAATTATTTTAACCGCTCTAAAGTTGATATTTTGTCCTTTTTCTAGCGAATGTAGCACTACTGACGATCTATTTTCAAGTTTATAAAGGTCAGCCGAGGATTCACGAACATGTTCCAAACATTATTTGTGTTCCTTCAACCTAACATTCAACTGTTTAGAAGTTCCAGACACATTATACACATCTTACTGACTTATGATTTCCTACTCAATACAATCAACATCTGAATAGTATTCAACAAGTTTACAGTGAACATTGGTTTGTTAAACGTCGTATATTCTTCAATGATTTTGAAATTTTGATCATTACCCTGAAAAAGTACATACACGTTTACTGAATGAAACGTTGGAATTACTTAGATTTCAATCTCTGAGATAATTTCAAATGTAATATTTACATATAATGTTTTTATATACTCGTTGCCCAATTTCAATCGAACTCTTTGCTCAAATATTGATGAATGTCCATATAAATTCCTGGAGACATATTTAAGGTTAACGGATAGTTTGAAATTTTTCAATACCCTACCAATTATCGATTACAGATCATTTACGTACAGCACGTATGTAACCTTGCTCCAATTGATTAGATGTATGCACTACCTGTTTCTTAATTTTAACACTTATTTTATGACCAACTAACTTTACTTATTTAAACTTCAAACAATGTACAATCATCTTTTCATTAGTTGATTTTAATTTGCTGAACTATTCTGTTATTATCTTATCAGTTTACTAGTCTGGTTTAATACAAGTTCACTTAACAACTTACTGTTATTGTGTATTTTCTGTTCAGTTTATATAAAGTTGTTTAATTTTCAAGAATTGGTAAGTACAATGTTGATTGGAGCTATAGCTGTTACCTTTAAAACATTCTTATTATGAATAAACATATTGGTAGTTATTTCAACGTCAATTCTTTCCTAATGCTACAATCTTCCATAGTTATCATCTTCACGAAGTTTAAAACATGTTCAAATTTAGTACAGATAAGTTGTTCCTTAAACTTTTAGAAAGTAATCTGTAGAAAAACATCATATTTTGATACTAAACACCTTTACAGCAAATTACTAGCTTTCTCTTTATCTTTTTCAAATTACCCAACACGAAATAAAATGCATTACAATGTCGATTTAAGTAGATAGACTGTTGCCAAAAATAAAGGATTCGTTCGATAGAGTTCAATCGATACTAAGGATTAGAACACTCTTCTTGTAATTAAAAAACTTAATCCTTTTTCTGTATATTGCAAGCTTCTACCCCATTCCATATACACTATTTTTAACATTTAGTTACTACTATTAGTTGTCACATAAAACAATGTAGTTCAAAGTTGATAGCATTGTATTGTACTTAGTAAATAAATACTATAATCTAATGAATTTTAATAGATACTCGACAACTAACTAGGGTTTAGATACTGACTAGCAGTCATTTGATATTCATTACTTATTATGAAATACTTACCAAGAGAATAAGCCAATTTTATTCTGTCCTTCATATACTAGAATACCGGTTGGTGTAAGCCCAAGCGAGTATAACTGATTATCTTTACCCTGTCAATTAATAAGATTTTATATGAAGTTATATAAATTTGGGGCGGGGGGAGAAAGAATCGAACAAATAAGATAGGTCATTGTAAATAACAATATTCAGAATAATGATACAAGTAATGATGAAAATAATTGAGTAAATCATACGTAAGAGTTATCAAACTATGATTTAAGAGTAATCAATACTTCAAAGAGGTAATTCTTGAAGTTTTAGTGAGGAGATTAAACCCGTCGGACATGATATAAATATTACCCATGGCAATGGATAATGATCATAGAGTATCGAGAATTGACTCAGATAACAAATGTAAATCAGCACATTTCAATTCAGTAGGTTGGAAGTTGAGCATTCTTTACGAGGCCTATAGACCCGGCGTTAAAATCATAATGGAATCATAGATATGCTCTATTGAGGAGTCCCAGGTTATGGAGGAAGAGCTATCCAGTGTTGAAATGACATGATATAAAAAATAAATCTCAAGACAAATTAGATCCAGTTAATTTGTTAAACTGCATTCACTTTTCTTTAAAAGATGTGACCAAGGGAGTATGTTGTATGCCAGATGCCGTAGTTATACTTTGTTATTTTTACATGGATTGGTTAATAACAGAAATTTTAACTGCAAAGCTTATCTTGAGTATGTTGTCTAGTTTATCAGTAAAACGTATCAATTTTAAAATTCAAAGACAAAACTGAACTAAGACTATTGAACAGTTTAATACTACTTATAAAAACTAACCTTTACTGTATGCATTTCAACTCCATAATCAGGTAATAAGCAGACTTTTTCTAAATAAATTGATTCACTAGCGGCTGGTGTTAAATTTCGACCACTGAGTTGCATAATACATCAATATAATTATGAGGAAAAGAATAGATAAAAGATGTGATCAAATTTACATTGATAACTGAACATTGATAGTCAAAAAAAGAAGTGTACGTGAAAGCATGGAAACAGAAAAATTAACAGTATAGACAGTTGTCACTAATCTATCACAGAGTACTGACTATCGATGTGGTCACTTAAATTAACCGCTGTCGGAATATGCTAATTTATTTTATGGACTTTTTTTCATTTTTCACCCCTAGTTGGCTCGTGGATATATATTACTGAGGAATGTTATTGTAGAACTAAACTACTAATAGTTTTTTCCTGCTTCATAATTGTTTTCTGATCAAAAATTTAATTAATATGGAATTTCTTTTATTTATATAAAAGCTTACCACGCATTCAAATTTCATATGAAAAACATTGTAAATTATTGTAAAATATTTATTCTCAGTGCTCACATGGACCAATCACTGCATAAGTAGGAGATTAGTCAATCATTTTACATTCAATACACTTGAATAAACATACGTGACATTTATTACTAACCAGTGATCAACCAGTGTCAAATAGAGATCAGTGGTAACATCTCTGTCTGTGATACTGACTATGGTTTGAACCCACTAGGTATTTGTTAGGTGAACCGACGTCTTTACCATGTCGCAAATAGGGCAATTCATCTAAAGCTGGATAAGTGTCTTTATGCATATGTTGACAGTTCATCTGCAACCAACTGAAGTACCGCCGAATGCCCTGTAACAGCCGAGAGTGGAAAGAGTTAGCTCTCCCTCTCGAAATGCTCTCACATGGCCATGCGTATATAGCCTCTGCCAGGGAAGTCCTAATCACTGCCTTCTCGTGGGTGTTGTTTATGGAATTGAAAGGACGAAAAGCGAATGTTCGGTGCTTTAACCGGGTTGGTGGACACGAATAGTCCACCGAGGGGAGTTGGAAAACCCTGATTCCAAACAAATGGTGCACATGGGCTCCAGTATCCTGTGGGGACAAATGGAGTATGAACCAATCGTTGGTCACTGGCTACCATGGAACTGCATCTTTTTACGATGCTCCACTACCTTGTGGATCAGACCTTTAGGTCGAAGGCTCCGGGTGTGGTTCCCTAAGAAAACCACCTGCTTCGGTTTAGGCATCCGGGCAGTATCACAGCCCTCACACAAACCAAATGAGATTCGTGTGGCGCATATGTATCTGGTGCCCCCTCGTACCAGTATTTGTGTATTCAAGTAAATAAATAAATAAAACTGAAGTATAATCAAGCATACTAATTTTTACTGCTTAATATCAGTCACATTTTTGACTCAGATGAAACAAATAATCCAAGGTTCAGAGCTGAAATCTATTTTACACTTAACACCATTGACTGGTCTTGGTTAAGGGACCATTAAAAACCAAGAAAAACTAAATAGCTATTTCATTATGGTATGATACCCCTCAGTAATACAAAGCCGAGACCAAGGGAGTTCAACCATCTCGAGTATGAGACAGTTACTAACCAATAATAATGGCAGATGGTTATTAATTATCGCAAATTGTTTAAAGGCAAACATGTAAACCATTGGTTGGTGGATTCAGTAGTCTAAATATCAAACGCTCACCACGAGACCTGTAGGTTCTGAGTTCGTGAATGTGTACCTCTGAGGAATTATATACTATAACAAAACACTTTTCAATGCTTCCTGATTCTTTAACTAAAATCAGCCAGTGATATTAATTGTCAAGACTCAACAATCTTGACAAACTTCCTCCTCCCTATATGTCCAAAAAAATCTATTAGGAGAGGAAAAAATAGAACTGTAGAAATACGTTTATCCCATTAAAACAGTTTTATACCTAAAATTATATCAACACCATTACTTCTATAACAACACAAATATTTGCCTATGTTTTCTTGTCTCTGAATTATTATCATTTAGAATCTTTCTACTTAAAAACTAGATAATACCAATTTAATGGATTTATTATATAGAGGATTCAATATAAAAGTTGGTTGTATACTATAAACTGATTTAAGAACAAAACGTTTTTTTAAAAAAATATAGTATAAACTTCTTAAGCGTTATATTTGTAGTAATAATGACCTATCTGTAAACAGTATACTATGCATACTTTGTATATATGTGTAGGTATCCTTGGCATACAGATATTGTTCTACACGTATCTTTAAACTTGAAAGACAAAATTTATCTATCATATCAGGTTATTTATTGACTGTAATTAAACTCATTCATCATGTACAAATTTATGTATTTGGCTTTGAAACATTATTCTATGTAAATAAAAGCTAACAATGCAATTTAGTTCATTGAACTGTTATACACAGAGCGAGGTAGCTTTAGTCTGACTACTTTGCCTAATAAAATATCATGAATAAGAAGTTTTACGTCACACAATGATTTCGATTAAACAACTATGGGAAACCACGGAACGTTGAATTGTTTTTCTGTTGTAGTATGGGGCTTGGCAGTAGTACCCATTAATGACACCACTGGGTATTTAGCCCATGGCTTTTAGATCTTGTGGAAAGTGCTTAACCTTTAGACCATTAAGTATTCAATGGTTTAAATTTGTAACTTAAGTTAATCCGTGACGCTGCGCGATCAAGATCTACTGCCAATGGTGACATTTACCTAATACGTGACATGGCTGAACAGCCCTGAACACGGTTTCCTACTAGAACTTCAAGTATTACTTCTTCAGTAGTTATGTAACCAAAGTTAGTTCATGATGTTGAATTATGAATTCAGATATCTCCACAACACCTCATAATAACCATAATCATAAACATTTTAGTATTAACCCTTTTTAAGACTGATTAATCAAATGTAGCTGTTTTGAAATTAATCAGTTTATGAATAAGCACAGTAGGCAGTCAAATGAGATCATAAATAATGAGCAAAGGGAATTATTTATTCAAAATAAAATATCATAATCTCTCGTTATTTAATGGTTAAACTATTTCATTTAACCACAATAACAAATATGCAATACTTTGTTCATACGTAAACATATTCAATGATTCATTTGATACTTCTGCACATGATATTAGTTTATTTATACTAATATGACTACTTTATGTATGTTGAATCTGTTTTGTTATGATAATCAAATAATCATTGCTCTATGTAACCACCTCATTAAAAATCATGCATCTTACATAATATACAAATTCTTTCGCTGAGATTTTACAAAAACATTCTTCCTCTTTAATGTCTCACATTAACTCGGCGCCCAAATATTGTGAAACTATCCGTTCAAATTTTAAAGAAAGTTCTTATTTATATACACGTTCTCTTTTACCACATTTGTCCCAAATGCTTACTTTGAAATAACCTGGAAATTATGTTCTTTCGGATAATGCGAATATTATCATTGTTATTATTATTTCGGAATTTGTATCAGCCTGATCATTCCTGCAGACCGATGTATATTATGTACTAATTTTCAAAACATACTATTATTATTACTATTAAAATAACCCATAGTGTCATTGAATAAGAAAAAAAGAGTTCAGCGAAGAAAATTTTCTTTTCGACGAAATCATTTACTTAAGCTGTAAATTCGTATATATAGTTATATCGATAATATATGTCTATAGGAGGATAGAAAAGATTGCATCATAAAATGGATTCGAGACTAAATAATAAATGAGGTTACGTACTAATCAAGAGGTAAGGATGCGCAGTGCTGAGGAGTCCCACAATAGGACGAAACGGCCGTCCAGTGCTTCCAGGTTTCCCATGGTGGTCTGGCTTCAATTGACTTATGATCTCAACCGTTTAAATTACTACAGTCTCCACAAAAACCCATCTGATACTAAAGAAAATAACTATTAGTTGACCCATAACGGTTTTCTTCATATCTTTCAACTGAACTATTAGCTGACCCATATACTCTTTTCTTCTTTACCTCTTGATTAGTACGTAACCTCATTTGTCGTTTAGTCTCGAATCCATTTTATGATGCAATCTTTTCTATCCTCCTATAGACATATATTTTCCATATAATTATATATACGAATGTACAGCTTAGGTAAATGATTTCGTCAAAAAGAAAATTTTCTTCACTGAATTCTCTTTTGTAATTGTAATTATATTATTATATTTACAGGTAGTAAAGTCGGACTGTATTAAATAATGAGTGCATACAATTGTTTACTGAAATATGATAATCTCTCAGGATTAATATTAGTTAACAAATATTATTATCATCCTATAATCTTGGTTAATTTTTAATCTTTGATGAATAGATGACAATAACAAAATGAAATCATACCTATTTTCATCATAACAAGTTAAATGATACTAATATTTGATGAAATGGTGTAGTAAATTATTCACTAGAGTTATATTCAAACTTATATGATCAGAATGTGGATTTGTGGAGATTGTAATCATTTTAATAGTTGAATTTCATTTCTGATACTGGGATGAAACGGCTGTCTAGTAATTCCAGGTTTTCAATCGTAGTCTCGCTTAGATCAACACATGATTTGAACTATTAAAGTTAAAATGCATATCTTACTGTTGAGTATTAATACATAGTCCGTCAGAGAAATATACGAACTGTGGTATTAAACATTTTAGATTTGAACCCATAAAGTCAATTAGTTTTATTTCATTAAAGGTAATATTCATCTATGGTGATATACTTATTTCATTTCTGTCTTCATGGTTCAAAATAATCTTAACGAAAATACTTGAAAATCAAATGATTCAGCTGCCTTGTCATTCTGGATGTTTTCCGTGTGTACAAATTATTCTTTCGATACTCAGATCATTAACCAATCATCCGAAAGGTGAATCAGCAATTAGAAAGTAATTAAAGGTGCCTTTTAGTTCGGTGATTTCATCAACACAGATAACTGACAATTGTTGAAAGCTGAACATTTAACATATTAAGACTTAATTTATGACAATTTTATGAACAGTTATGATTTTCATTTTTAACTTTTTCTGTGAAGAAAAGAAAACATTAAATCTCATCAAGAAAACTAACTTACGCTAAAGCTTTATACTTATCCAACACTGAAAGTTCAAACTCTTCTGTTTGTTTTTCTTCAGGTAAAAATCGAAATGTTGAAACAAAAACTGGTGTATGTTGTTTCGCATCATAATCACCGAATTCACCTTGAATTAACAGAAAAATTTTAAAAAATTTCAGTAATAGATTTACATAAACAATTTGAAATCTGAACTAAATTTCGTTCTTACTTGTGTATTCAACTCGTATACTTCCTCTATAATTAACGAAATAGAGATATTATTACATCTGAAACATCACTACCAAGACGTAAATCACACATTGTTAGTTCCATAACAAGTAGTTTTTAGGGGGGCAACACACGTAAACACTCGTAACTATCGTTCTGATTATTTTCAGGAGGAACTTGGTAGATTCTTTACTTGAGCGAATCTAATATAATGCGACGAATTTATTACTTCGGAAGATAATTAACTACAGTAAAATGTTTGTAGATAGTCGATGTGAAATAGTGATATGATGAGCCATGATCAAACCCGAAAGTCAAGTATCAAGTTCATTGGGTCGGTAAGTGATCTTGAAACCACACATTCAATATAATCACTTGAGTGATTCTTGGAGTAAATATTTGTACATAAGTGTATCATGTTATTGTAAAGGAATAAAGCTTTTCTGGCCTTTTAACTAGTTTATTTGATAGTTTACAGTATAATTTTGATTGAGTTATTCTCACTCGACCACACTTTACATCATCTAATTCAATCCTAAAGTAGAGAACTGAATACGTATTTTCTGTTAAATCAAATTGCATCTATCCGTGTTAAACTATACATTTAAGGAACTTGGTTCATAATCCAGCTGTTGTAACAAATAAAAGGAATTCACTGGGCAGTACATAACGAAAAACTATAGAATGAGAAGTGTGCAGTTTGAATATATGATTTTTGCTAACTGAAGTGAATTATTCGACAAAATTGTAGGAAATAGGACGTACTCGCATCAAAACACATACTATTTTTATTATACTAATGATTAAACTATTAACGGAATTCATTTTAAACTACGAAGAATGTTATTCTGTGACTAGACTGTTTCAAAGCTATTGGTTACATGTTTAAAATATTATGCTTCATTCTAGTGGTAATTTGAGTATTCATTACTATGTGCTTGTTTGTACACAGCATAACATTCTCTGAATGAAATATAATAGATAAAACCATAAATTCCCCATAATCTGCGCTGTAATTCCAAAGATTCAGTAGATTTTAAGAAATATCCAGACAGTGATGATTAGTCAAAAAACAGTCTGAAATTAGTCCCACCGTTTCAACATTTTTCAATTTATTGCACAACATATATGGGAAAACAATGCTATAGTGGGACGTTTATATTTCATTCTACATGTATTCATCTTCTTTTTTTCCAAAGCTATTATAATGGTTAATCAGTCATAATCAACATAGAACCTGGCATACATGTTCTTTAGTACATAACACGTTATCGTAACAAGTTGAAATTAGCAAAATCTATCAGAACTAATCAAAAAGATGTAGAGGTAATGATAATGAAAAACGTTGGACATTGGGAACATAATTTATAAAGACAGGACGAAAAAATGTGTAAAGGAAACTTCATTAAAAAAATAATAAATTCCACTAATTCTACCTCAGAGAATGAGAGCGATCAGAAAGAAATTATCAAAATGTATCTTTATTAATAATCACTCGTCAACAAGATTCAACTTCCACTGTGTAGGAGATCATTCTATCAAGTGGGTTTATTCAAACTGATATATTAATGAAATACTTTAACACTGGGCTACTCAGGCAGAAAATAATCTAGTCCCCAGAAATAATCGAACTCTATCAACCAAACTAACAATACTTTTTAAATGTCATATCTTATTTTTCAGCCGCACTGCCGCATCTGAAATCCAGCGACAAGTCATATTACGTCTTAAACCGATTGATTTTTCTTTAAAGAAAATAAAGAGTATTGTTATGTCAGACAAATGTAACTGAAAAAAAAACAACCAGACGAAATGGAATATGAGACTGAATCAACTGTTACGCTTTGTTTTTTTTAAGTCATTTTAATTTATGATAGGCATAACTATCAAAGTCTTTGAATCGGTCTTCTTTAAGGGTCTATATTTACCCATTGTTTATGTTAAAGATTGCAACTGATCAGTCTCTATTGTTATACATAACACTGAAGAATTACCTTGATATTGCCGTCTAGTGAAAATTTTTTATTAAATTTGTATAGTGGCTAGTAGTGACATACAGGATCTACATTTTGGATGGATGTACTTGTGTCCCAGTGTTGATGTTTACATTAAGATTCAAACAAAGTATCTTTTGATTTTAAGCCCTAATGATATATTCTCTGAGCTACTAAGTTCATTTAACACGTTTAATATTTTTAAAAAATCATTTTCGACAATAAATATAATGTAATAGCTCATTTTGGAAAATTATCATAATAATATTAAGTCTATGAAAGAAATCTCTTGATATACATGCTTAAACATCAACTGTCAATCACAAAACCTTGAAAATGTAAGTAAATGAAAACATATCAATTAATATAACTCTGTACTAATTAATCAGAAAAAGGTCTTATGAAGTATTAAACTGTGAATTAAATTAATGTTTGACACGTATTACATTTATATATATATATATATTATATATATATATATATCAAGTCTTGTTTGACACTGATCAACACTACGTTTTGTAAGTGCATCAATCGTTCTTATTTTCCCTCAATAAAATGATCTTTTTACTTGTTTATAAACAATTCGTTACATAATTAATCGCAACAATAAAAAGAATTGTATTTATTGAGTAATTAAGTATTTCTAATTCAACTTCGAATTGATTTAAACTATAATAACTTCATATATATATATATATAATAATTTTATCAGAAGGGGTTTTGTGGAGATTGTAGAACTTTCAATATTTGGGATCATGAGTCAATTGAAGCTAGACAACCATTGAAAACCCGGAAGCATTGGACGACTGTTTCGTTCTATTGTGGGACTCCTCAGCAGTGCGCTCAGTGGTTTAGTGGTTAAAGGCTTGTGCGCGAGACCGATAGGTCCTGTGTTTGAGTCCCCGAGGCGAGATCGTGGATGCGCACTGCTGAAGAATTCCACAATAGGGCGAAACGGTAGTCCAGTCATTCCAGATTTTTCATGGTGGTCTAACTTCAATCGACACATGGTCTTAACTATTGGAATAATTTTACGTTAATTAGAGCTATGTGGTTTTATAAACTAAACAAAGTGTTAGTTAAATTTTGTGTTTAAAAAAAGGTAGGAAAATGATTAAAAACTTCATTTACAATGAGCATTAAATAAACGGATTACAAGATATTTATATATGCATGATCTGTTCAACAATTACATGAACTGAGTTAAAGAGCTTTTTAGTTATAAGATTTAAAAAACTGGAATAAAATCTAAAAACATTTACAAAGTAAATAGGGATGTTTACGAAGATAAAGATTTAAAGATAACAGCTCTTTAAATATATCAAGCATTTCAGTAAAGGCTTTTAAAATTTCAGTCTAATAAGTTTTTAATGTTTTAGAACTTCATTACTTACAGTTACTTTTATTTTTATTTCGAATTTCTCTGTTTACGAAGGTTTACATTTCTCTGTCAACTCAACGGTCTTTTTTTATTTGATCACAAAAAAGAAACTACACACAACGTGAAAAAGTTGACGAATTTATATACATTTAAAAATATATAATAAATGTTATTTCACTGAATAAGAGTGCAGATTTATGGGTTTCTGGGCATTTATAATTATTTTGAAGAGAACTTATGGATAGACATTATCCTTAAGTAACTAAGAAACTTTACTTTGAGTTTTTAGTTTTCATTAAAAGCAATATGCTCTAAAGCTCTAATATCAATATTAAAGTTAAGGTATTATTAAACTTAAGGAATTAAAGTTTCAGGCAAGATAAATGAGAGAAAATGGTCCAAAGGATGGTAAATGACTAAAGTGATTTTAGTTCATATTGGTTTTTAGGAATCAGTACACCGAGAATTTTTCATTAAGAAATGAGCTTGCTATTTACAATATTATAGAAGTAATTTTCCTAACTGTTAGATTTTTTTCAAGTCAAACTGTTAATTCAAAAAACTAAATAACGATATACTCCATCGCTTTTGTTTGATAGGATAAACTTTGAAAGTTGCTAAAACATTTTTTCAAATAGTTTACATGAAAAGTTGTAATATCTGGGAAACAAATGAGTTTATTTCTTGAAACAATTTTAATGGGCTATATATAAAACAACAACAAACCTTGGAGAAGCAATGCCGCCAGTTCGGCTGCAAGTTGTAAATCATTGCACACTAATTTTCCTTTGTGAATATCTTCACGTAGTTGCAACACAACAAGATAACGTGTATACTCATCGTGTAAGTTATGTGGATCAGATGCAAAGAATTTGACTTTTAGAGAAAACGAAATTGACGTTCTATCTAAGATAAGTAATAATTTAAAAAGTTGTTGAGATAGTACCACACAGAGATAGATATGAAGTCACTATCTACAAATTATATTCCTAAAGTTTTAATCTATGATATTAGTTTTGTCTTATATTGATATTTATATGTTTTTCAAGCATACTAAAATCAAGATATCAAGTCTGAATGCACATCTTCCACGTTGTTTTGCACGAAAATGCGAATTAGGATTTGAAAAATAACGCTTATATATATATATATATATATATATATATATATATATATATATATATATATTAGTTTTGTTAACCAAAAAGTCATGGTTATCAAAATATGATAGCAAACCTTTATGGAATTTTACAGCATTCACCTTGTAACGCCATTACTCTATCTATAAATAAATATTCAATCAAATTATCCGGATTACTTGATATATTTCCAAGTCGTATTTGTTTTATAAAGGCAGCTTTATATACCGATACTCAGTAATTCGTTAAACAAAAGGTCATCATCCTTTCGCGAACAATACCACCCATACCGTGAAGGTTTGCAATATTCAAATCTGACAATTGGCGAATGGCTGTCTCCTTACTTTTATAACTCAAGCAGTAAAGCAATGGATTCAATATTGATTGACATTCAAACTATATATACATATAAATAAGCTTTGCTCCCGTTTACACTGTGCATCATATGGTCTGAAACCAGACCAAATAAAAGCTTTTACATATATGAATGTATTTTCTTGTAAAACAGCTTTACAAGTTGAAAGCGATTACAAATGCACCTTGAACTACACACTGAACATTGAAGAAAGTAAAACCGAGAGGGAACGTTGCAAAATTTAAATCACCACTTAGTAAGTTTATCCATAAGACTATAATTTATGGACGAACTTTGAGCAATTCTAAAATAACCTTGGAACGTTCATCTAATTACCAGGGTTACATGTGGGTTGTATATTAGGACTGGGATTTACAGCTGAATGTTGGGGTTGGAAATTAAATTTAATGTTTTTATCACAAACTGACAACACCTATACTGCTAAAATGGTATTCAGACAAATAAGTTAATGAAATTCGAGTCAAAATCTGCTACCTAAAATGTGGTTGATTCATCCACAAGTTGTAGTCTCGCCGTCAAAGTTTAGACAGTTGGCCTACTAGGCGTATCACTAATTCACAAAACTTAATTCGGAAAAATCCGACGTATACCCGAATATGTTTAGTGAATATTACGAATTCTTCATGCTTCACTTTGAAACTATCGATTCGTCATCTTATAGCAATCATATACCTGCTAATAACTTGTTGTGATCAAAAAAGACTATAAAGTAAGGTTGGCGAGTACAATAGAAAATATTTTTGTGATTTGACAAATAACTACATAAAGCAATACTAATAAATTTGTATGTTCATTACTATCCTTAAAATCTAAATTCCAAATTACGGTTGTTGGAACAATCAATGATAACAGATACACATTTAGTATGCAGCCAAAACATAAATAACAAGGCTAAAAGGATTAACAAAGCTATAGCTGAATACAGTAATGTGTAACTAACACATTTACTCATAAATCGAAGACATGCAACTATAACAAACTTTTATACTGTTTCTTGATTTCCTTTGTTGGTTCCAGCCACATCTGAGACAGTGTTTTATAACCAATCGAAATAACATACCGGAACATCGTTAAAAAATTGCAAACCAAAGTAGTCTTTTTCTTCTACGAGTGCAACATATGCAAACGCTATATCATACAATTCAGATCCTTTAGCACTTTTCTGTGGAAATTAATTTTGTGTATTTAAGAGCATTACTGAAACATAGAAGCTTTGCTCAGTGCCATCAAGATAAGCTACTTTACATTCGATATCCGACTTTTTAACTTTCTTGCTTTTGTTGACAGATATAGGCTCATCAACATGACTTGGTGTAGGAGCAGACGTGTTTCGTCGAAATCTTTTGCTAAAAAACCGAATTATGGCGGCCATCCCCGGTTAATGGTAATGCAATCCTTGCCGAGCGAAAACTCAATTTAGTACTTATATCAACTTTAAAATCTAAGCTGCAGTAGGTACAAACAAACAAATCAGACAACAACACATTAAAACTCTGACTTCAGTCTTCAGTCTTCAGTAATAAGGATAGTAGGTTGGTGAACCTGTATTAATTCTGACACATTGCTTTCCAGTGAAGGTCCAGCTTTTCCTTGAAAGTATTCACTGTTGGGGCTGATACAACTTGTTCGGGTAAGGCGTTCCAATGATTGACTACTCGATGAGAAAAACTGGACCCAACTCTAAGTTTATTAGATCGTGTTTTATGAACCTTCTTTCTATGACCTCGGAGATTATTAGTGCTGGAGGGAGCAAAAAGATAAGACATATTTACACCCAAATCATAATTAAAGATACGAAATGCCAGTATAAGGTCACCTCGTGTCCTACGATACGACAAGGGGAAAAGGTTTAGACGTTTTAAACGCTCATCGTAAGGGAGTCTAGAAATACCCTTCACTAATTCCGTTCCCACACGCTGGACAGGCTCAAGGGAGTTAGTATCCTTTACCAGACACGGGCTAGCTGCTTGGATACAGTACTCTAAATGTGGTCTAACATATATGGGATATAAAATTCGAAACGTTTCCTCGTCAAAAGATTTGAACGTTCGGAGAAGTAACCATAACGCACGAAAACCTTTGACAGCGGCTGCTTTGCAATGCGCAGTTGTTTTTAAATCATGACTTAATACTACTCCTAAGTCTTTATGCTCTTGAACGCATGGAAGAGGTTTACCCTCAATAGTGTAACGGTAACTATTACCGTGACCGATGTGCATTAGTACACTCTTCCTAGCATTGATTTCTAAGCCCCACTCTCGATCCCATCTAACTAACTCGTCTAAGTCAGCTTGAAGATCCACATGATCAGCCGCACTTTTTATTGTTCTCCAGATTTTTACATCATCCGCAAACAATAATGTCGACGACCTAAGTAACAGCGGTAACTCATTAACGTAGAGAAGGAAGAGCAAAGGGCCTAAGATGGTGCTTTGGGGTACACCACTTTTGACCGGCTTTCAATCGGACAGCGTCCCGTTGACCCTCACGCTCTGTCTGCGGTCAAATAAGAAATTTCCTATCAACTCATGTTCAGTACTTATTATTCCGAAGCTCATGAGCTTCTGCATAAGACCTACGTGTGAAACCTCGCCAAATGCTTTGCTAAAATCTATGAATATCACATCGACAGACAGACCGTTATTTAGGGCTGCTGTCCAATCCTCCCTCGCAATAAGCAAGTTAGTCAAGCATAAACGCTTGTTACGAAATCCGTGTTGCTCAGGAGCTAACAGATTGTGTAAATCTATGTGGCCGAGCAACCTAACCCGAATTATCTTTTCAAGTAACTTAACGACTATGCTAGTTAGACTGACAGGCCGGTAGTTAGATACTATCTGTCGCTGACCGTCCTTAAATAAAGGACTAACTATAGCGTCCTTCCAATCTCTAGGGAGCTGAGCGAGTGAAATGAAAATGTTGAAGAGTGTCGCAAGCGCTTTTGAAATAATGTCCGCAAGAGATGACAGCAACCGTGGATGTCACCCGTCAGGGCCCGATGTCTTACCAGGTTTGAGGTTAGTTATCAACGGAAGGACAGTTTCCTCAGTCACCTGTACAGATTCCATGGTTGGTATCTCAGTGTGAGTGGGACAAGTATTTGTTACAAAAGACGTAGAGTAGACTTCGCTAAAATAGTTCGAAAATGTCTCAGCTTTTGCTCGATCTGATTCAGCTAGTAAATCTGAATTTTCGTGTAACAGTAACGAAGGAATACCATCACCACGTTTCGTCCGCCGTTTATCATATGAAAACAATCGTTTCGGACAAATACGGCTATCATATACTAACTGTTGTTCGTAAGTGGTGCGGGATTTGGCTATGGTTTTCTTATAGATATTACGGAATTTTTTGGCACTCACGCTTAAATGGTGCATGACCTGTCAACAAGAATAAGTCCCAGAAATGTTTCCTACGTTTTAACAGCTTCCAGGTTTCCTTAATAATCCATGGAGGGCAATGTGGTAGCTTACGTGCTGACCATGGGATAAACGGCGACGTTACGGGCTCGAATGTCGCTTTAAACTTATTCCATTTATCTTCGATCAATTCATCCGAGTCGACCGCCCAATCAGTCGAGATAGCACAGTTTCTGACCGCCGGAATATTGGCTCGCCAGATGTTAGGACGGGTTGGAGCAGATACGAATTGTATACCATGTGTCCTAAACTTAAAGTGAATTACAACGTGATCACTGTTCACTAGTGCGGGAAGGTGTTGGATATCAAAGACATCCTCACAGTGGTGGGTGAGGGCGATGCTCAGCAGTGACAGATCATGTTGCAAATCAATATGTGTCGGTTTTTTGATTCATTGTACAAGTGCACACTGAATAACGGTAGATGAAAGGTCGCTATCGAAACCACTACCTGGAGCTGTAAGCTCTATCCAGTCTACATGCGGTGCTTTGAAGTCCCCAATGATGAGACTACATTCTGCCACACTCCAAGAACAGTTGTGACCTGATCCGCTAAAGTTTTTAAAAACATTGAGAAATATTTCTTTCAGAAAAAATAACTTATCATGTCGACAAACGGCTCAATTTTTCAAAAAGAAAAGTATCATTCGAGAAGATTAGTCATAATGTATTTTGAATTTCTCAAACTTTTGCATGGGTCTTCCAGCACAGGGTGCTTGAATGTAGTGTTTCGGAAACTGCATGGCACTCCTCCTGGCCCGGATATGGTTCATCCTGCTATACTGAGAAAAGCAGCTTCAAGGCTGGCAACTCCGGTTAGTGTGATGTTCTCACACTCTCTAAGCCGAGGCAAACTTCCGGAAATTTGGAATCTCGATGTGGATGCTTATTGGGACTTCTTACTACATACGTTCATATGTGCTACAAATCATTCAGTTCCTCAAACGGTCCCCCATAGCTATCAGCAACCCACAATCATCAAGAACCGCACTCATCGCCTGCTAAGCCGAAAAATACACTGGTTAAAGCGTTTTCGAACTCCAAATACCTGTGGTATCTTCAGTGTAAACAATGATGTGACTCCCACGTAAGATTTGTAGATTAGGCAGTCACGTCATGACATATTTAGGATTAGGTCAATTATTAATATTATCCTGATAACGAAGTATACCATCATTCTACACTCACCAGGGATGCACATGTCAGCTGACTACTATGCATTATTTGCAGCGTAGTGCATACTATTTATTCCGGATGGTATTAACGATTTAATCCGGTACACCATAGTGCCGAAAACGTTTCTACAATCTTCTGTACACACTGTCGAATGCTTCCCCATAATCAAGGAATATGATGTAAAGTTACAAATTCCATTTAATTGAATGTTCAACGAAGATCCGTAGTGTCGCGAATTGGTTTGTGCACAATCGAACCTTACGGAATCCAGCTTGTTGATCTCGGAGTACACCACGCCATATAAGAAAGGCGAGGCTTTCACCAACGACGATTTTACCGTTCTCCAAGAGCTATTTACACTTTTCCATATAGCCGGACCCTTACTTTTGAACTACATATATCCATCATAAAAAATGGTGAGCAATTCTTACATAAGTATCTCACTTTTATGCGCTAATAAATAGTACTCTGTTTTCGTATAATTTTTTAGTGCAAAGCATTACATTTTGGAAGTTCATTCGAACGCTAATGTTTTAACATTCCGTTGCACGTTTTATTTTAAGGATACATTTTAAATTTGTACATTTCATTTAGCAACCGTGCGGATTGTATAGTGATGTAAGTTTTCTCACTTGTAACTTCTAAGAATAGTGTCAACTTGAAACTTTCTAAGTGTCTGTGATGATCAATGCTTTAGCTAATTGTATGCATTGTTATTGTATCATAAAAACACTCGTTTTCAATGATAGTGGGCATAACAAGAGAGTATGAACTCTCTTATGCTATTCGGTTACTCGAAATACAACTTTGAACTGACCAAATGTGTTTCAGATGTGATGAATCAAATATTCGGATACTCAACAGCAGAAAACATGGTTTACAAAGTCTTGCTGTTTTCAAGCTTTTCGTTCATGGATTTTTAAGGTGCATGTTAATTAAATATAACGACATTATATTGAATCACTTACTAACCTTATTGTAAGTTCCCTTTCTACACCTTCTCAGCATATATAAACGCGAAAGCCCTATTGATCCTACTTGAAATGTTTAAGTTTCCTTTGAGGAAATAATAACGTTCACAGCGTTGTCCAGCCCGAATAATATATGCAGTTTTCTATGTTCTATAAAGAATTGATGATGTACTTTAACTCAAACAAGTTTGCTAAAGTTGTAACGCCTAGACATCACGACAATGATTGAAGGATTCTGTATCTTCAAATCATAAGTTCTTATAAATACATATAGAACTCAGATAAATACAAATCTTATTAAAACGTTCAGATTGAAAATCAATTAGAGTAATCATTTGTTGTAGTGCCTCTGATGTGTATGGTCGTAATCACAAAGTTGACCTCGTTGTAAGCCCTACTTATAACTCGTCGTATAACCCCTAACTAGAAATAAACAGAAATTTATCATCTATTTTGTGTTACCACTTATTATGACTCTTGAAAACCTGGAACACTAGTCCAAAAGGTCATCTTGGTAATTGACAATTATTTCAAAGTGTATTATGCTTCCCTAATCTAAACATTTCTATGATTATTGGTTCAGTACTTTGAAGGAAATTTATCACATTTACGAATAAGACATTGATATTTTTCGATTAAGCTAACATACAACATGATTTCGTCTCTTGTTTGATTGAACAATATAATATCAACTGTAAGAACCAATTATTGGTTTTGGGAACTAACTACTAGTAATATTTTACAACCCCAACTATAACCCACTTTCCTAGAAATATGGTTGTGTATGTGACTCTTAGTCGACTTCAATAATAAACTCAGTCTCGACTACGAACATAACTTTAGTTTTGTCCTATTACTTCATCACTAAATTCACGTTTGATTTAGAATGATATGAATATTAACTTATAACACATAATGATCATTTAGGGTCAGCCTTCCTGTCTAAACTGTCTTTCACTGTTTTTATAAGGTGAACTGCAACGATTAACCAAACTTAGCATTCTCCAGGCACATTTTTTCTATTCTTTATATAAAATCCTTGTTTTTCTATTAAATTTAATACAGCGATAAATACACGTTTCTTAACACTTTTTCAACTAGTTAAGTAGAATACGCACAATAAAACTGAGTAGGAAACTTTATTTCTAATGTTTAATAATAATGCACAGAGCTCAGACGTGTATATACATCATCAGACTCATCTAGATATGAACTTGTTGATGACAACCATGTCCAAGTATGTACTTCTTTTACTTACAAAGGCCATTTCACATGTACATTTACAACATACCTTGCTGTCACCAAATAACATATGATTAATTTATGCTTGCCATGTTTTTCAGCCGTACTCTTTATTACCAATGGAATTCGCTTTCAAAAGTCACCTTACTCAACCCCGACCCGTGTTAATGCGAGTAGACTTTACTCTCACTGTTCAAACCCAAAACAACTAGTGTTTAAACTCAGTGTTTGTTGTTCGATATACGATTGCCTCTATTATGTGAACGATATCTGACTTGTCTAAAACGTTCAACTGAGTTAGATTTCCATTTTTAGGATTTTTCGTGTTCTAGCCTAATCAACGACTATAACTGTTCTATTTCGGCCTCCATTCTACATTTTAAAGGGAGTTAATTTGTAACGATTTCTATTTGTTTACGAGTTTCTTAAGTAGGTTTTTTCTCCCTTTGGAAATTGAATTAAGTGAGTCGCTTCAATTTAAAATAATAATTAAAAAATAATGCTGCGTCTTTTGACGTCAGATATGTTATACCTTACAGAGATTTCTACCAATACTCCAAAATTTTCTCTTGGTGAGATAAGTTATTTAAATGGCCAAGACTTGATCAATTCAAAATTAGATAAAGGACTAATTATTTTGTGCACTGCGTGGATATATCTGTATATAATCATTTGTACATCCAAACCCGGTTGAACTACAGTTAATTACAAGGGTGTAAGCTAGATTGATTTCGTACACAAACGCTCTTCCATAAAATTAAAGTGTTCAGGTTTCAAAACTTGATAAATCTTACTTTCTGAATTAAATTCCTAATATTGAACAAGATGGTTGTTTGATGTAAATCTCAGTTGTCTTTTTTAATCTATGTATTTCTTAACAGATGCATACAAATAAGAAAACTAATGCAAACATACCATCACGTATCATCGGTTCATTGCTTTGTTTACTTATCACCGTAAGCTTCATATTATTCGTATTTTTCTATTTATTCTAAAACTTATATTTCAGTTGTTTGGTGCAGCTTTAACCGGTTTTATAGGTCATATACTTATTGCTTTTGAATATATCAGTGAAATATTTGGAAGATATATATTATTTGGTGGAATTTATGTTATACTAACATGTGGTGTATTCACTGTATTGATTGGTCTGCTTGGGTTTTTCAGTTTCATACATCCAAATCGATGTACATCTATCACGGTAATTAATTTTATACTGATAAAAATAAAAATGTAACATTATTTTCTTTCTAGACTTGTGTTGGTTTAGTTATTCTCATTATTACTACTACTTGCACATCGGTGATTGTTTATATGTATCCTAAAACTGTAAGTTTAATTATAGTTTGAAGCATCTGAATTTTACATAAGTTTTATTTTTCATTCTATACCATTTGTGGATTAGAAATTATTTCTACTTTTTTAAATATTTATTTTAATGAAACTTTTATCTTGCGTAGTACGTGCAACTGCATATAAAAAAAGTTAATTTACTGAATGAAAAGTGGAAAACTGGCATATAGAAGTCATTATATTATGTGATAATTTCCGGTTGAACTCAAAGACATCTAAATATTTATAATAAAGCATTGAATGGATAAATTTACTAGAAGGATACATGCAATTTAGGAAGAGCTACAAGTATATAAACACATAAGTTTTAGTGAGAAAAAATTAGGAAGATGTGACCGTTTTGAGGTCATACTTTACATGTGAGGGTCGGTGATACTATCTATCTGTCCAAATCGAAGTAGGTTGAGCGGGACTTAAATCTGCTACCTAATATTCGAAAATCAAGCACTCTCATTATTAAACAATTACTCTATACCAACAAGCCTCCATGTTTCACATTAGCACGATGACATGAAAATTAACAAGCTAACATGGCAACAACAAAATTAATGAAAGTGGAAATCTCATGAATAAGAGGTTAACTTCAAGTGTAACGATCAAATGTTAGGAAAAAAAGAAATTTGCTTGAGTTAACACTGAGATCATGGTGTGAAGGAAGATAAACAATTACTTCATCAGTGCCAATTTCACCACTTCTAGACAATATATCATCCTCTTCTCAACATATTTGGTATGTGACTAGTAGTCTGATCAAGTGGACATTTGCTTCTCAAATTATATATATATATATCTTTTTTCTGCCAGATTCTATTTTATACTCTCTTCTGTGGTCTATAACTACTAAATTGTATTAACTAAAACATAAATCCTTTTTAAACTCAGCGTTTATTGAATATTATTCATAACTTGAAACAAAGCCCGCTGTGCTGTTTTACTAACACGTTCCAGGAAATAAAACCGTCAGTAAAAATGTTGAAAGCGATTTAAGAGGTTTTCGAAAATTTCCAGTCGTACTCGATTTTTTCTGATCACGATAATGTGGAATACGTGTATTTGTATACCAGTTTTCTCTAGCAGTCTGTTTTAAGTAACTGAGTTCACAGACCAAATGACTCTCTCACACTCACTAATGATTAAGAAAACTGGTGAACAGAAAAAAAGTTGATACTAACATTGATAAATACAGTCGAAAATTCATAGGTATATAATGTGTTTTCAACATTCAACCAGTGAGGATGTAATCTTTTAATCTCTTACCATTATTTTAAAATTTAAATATGATGATTAACAAAAAGGATTTTTGATCATATGTATTTGCCATTATTCTGGACTGTTTCTGTTAGAAACATGTGAACCTGGATATTCACTTTGGAAATTAAAGAAATGAGTAAAGTATTTTAAATATTCTTATCTTTCTGCACAAAATCTATCTGTTATAGTTAATAACATGCTCATCTTAAATTGTTTTTGTTTATTAACAAAAATAACTTCTCAATATTCATGCTCTTCTTCAGCATTGATTTAAAACTTCCTTATGAGTTTCTGTATACTTTGCTAAACAGAATATACAGCTACGATTTAATAGACATTTTGTGAACACATATGTCGTATAATGTCTTTCGAAATTCCTTAGTAAACGGATCACTTTCGAGACTCTGGCAACTTTGAAACATCCTAAAATGTATGTTGTAATAAATATAAAGTACATCTGTTTCGTCCACATTATTGATTTTTTTAAATCAACTGTTATTTACATTACCGTCAACCCAAATATTTCTGTGAAGTTTACTAACTTGCATCTTTAACTACTTATAAGTAATCTAGACATTTACGTATAATTTTCATGTCCACTTCGAAATTTCCGCTATCAAATCAACCGCTTATTATAAAAGACATTCTTTGTCCCATAGTCAGTAGTGGAAACTGGCGTGTCTGAAAGAATCCAGCATCAATGCATACAAAAGAAGCACTCTGAAATACGACAACAAGTGAAAGTATCAGATGTGCATCATCAACAGAAAACAATACCTACGGTGGCTAATAACTAATAATAATAGGAAACTAGAGATTTAAATAGTTTTGCTAATCACTTTGAATAGGTTCTTCAGATAAGACAACTATAATCTTACAGTTTCTCTTGTGCTTTGTTTATCAATCTTCTTTATACAATTCAGACTGGTTAACACAAAACAGAATTCCATGAGTTCTAACTGTAAGCTGGATGAATCTCAATAATTTCAGTGGTAAGACAGGTATCACTGATACCCGTAGATGGCGGTTACATAATACAAAAAAATAATGAAGTTAGAAATTCAAGTAGTTATTTGATTGCCTGAAGTTAATGCACACCTTAATAGTCATGAAGGTTCTAGTTTTGAACTTTTACAGCGTATTAGGTATACACTATTGTTGAGCTTCATACGAGCACGAAATAAAAGTCCACTTCTCTTTACTTTTTAATGGTTGTCCAAATAAAGTCACCTCGTGATGTAAGCTATCTTTGAATATGAATATTTTTAAATATGATGGACTGAAGTGAGATTTTATAGCATAGTTAATTTGTTACCGAAAATCATATCATTGTTCGATTCCTTTGAGTATCCCATTATCCTTTTCAGAATCTTATCTACACAACAATTCAAACTAGTAAATTGTTTGCAATTGTTTAACAAATATCACATGTGAGGTAAATCAGTCTATACAAATTATTATTTTGACTGGTATTGAAATTTTTTTGGTAAACATTTTATCCATTTAATTTTTTCCCTGATTCTGTACAGATGACAAATTTGATATATTACCGAATGATCAAAACATTTCCAAATTACGGTCAAAATATGCAAATAACTAATGCATGGGATATTATGCAAAGTAATCTTAGGTGTTGTGCTATACATAACCGAGGTTGGTCAGATTATAATCAAACTGTTTGGTACAAATTAACCAATGCTGATATACATCTTCATGAAGAATTTATACCACGTATGTATTTGTTTTGTTTTTTGAGCAAATTAACACTTTCTTTGTGTTTGAAACATTCATAATCATTTCTTGCCAAATTAATACACTTTAAACTACTGTATTTAATATCCAGAGGTTTGGTTTTTACTCACTGTGTTATTCATTTAGTCGTTGTAATTCAGTTCCGAACTGCTTGTCGCCGAACAAGTGCAACTCGTGAGATTGTATAACAAGTGATATCACAAAACATGTATACACAACAAAGGTGACCTTATTGTTCACGAAGCTGTGATAGTATCATAATCCAACACCTAGCTTGTTAGTGCTAATAATTATCCCAAAAAATTCAACCTTTTATATTTATTTTTAAACGAAATTAGCATTATAACAGAAAAATAACTGAATAATTTACTCTGCATTGAACCGTTTTGAGGATTTTGATTAAAAAAAGAGTATGTGATACTTGAGTTCTCAAATCAAAACACGAGATTTGTCTCGAAAGAAGTGGAACTTTAAGTAAAAAGGCAACATAAATAATGTTTTACAAAATTAAAATAATGAGTTGTCTATGGAGCATTAACAACGCTTTAAGATACAAGCAGCGAGAATGTGCTTCCTTCAAATCAGTTTATAGAAACAATTATTAAAAGGACACAATAAATCAAGATTGTACCAAGGAGTTGGGTCATATCAGTAATAGCAGTTAACAAACTGAACTGAGAGTTATACAACAAGAACAACAAGAACAACAAGAACAAAAACATAAGAAATGAAGGCGAACTACTAAGAATGGTGAGGGAATATAATTACAGTAATTAAAATGAATCAAACTATAAGAATATATGTAGATACACAATATAATTAAAGCACATCAAAAAGTCAATTCATCAATTGTAACTTAAGATGGATTAGAGGTATAGTTGATAAATGAACTTACCAATTATTGTGCTACAAGTCAATCGTCTTGGCTCCTTTTAAACTTGTATGACTATGTTTTGTTTATTCCCTAATCACAATCGTAAATGTTTGTCATAAACGATATTAAGTTTTGTGGAATCCTTTTTTATATCCTCTAGTTACTGTTCAGTACTTTATTTATGCCGCTCTTTTTCCCTCCTTTCTAGACTATTAATTTCTGTTTTTGTGCATAATAATGATGTTAATTTTTATTTTAAAAGCGCATAAAGCTTATCAAACCAAATAGTTTACTTATTGTGACTTTGACCATACTAAGAATCTGTGTCCGACAGCCTGGGGACTAACTTAAGATTCTACCTGTAGTTAACTATATGCTACAATCCGTATAATGTGAACGTAAAAATTATTCACTTCATTTTTTGTATTGGTTGTATGAGTCTTCTCATTGATGTTTAGGACTGCAATTGATTAGTCTCTTGTTAGCGTTAGTGTATCTCGTGCGGATTGCCCTAATATTACCTTAAGACACAAACGTAATAAGCAAAGATGGATGATGACTAGCAGTGGATTCCAGAACGCCTGTTCCGTCCCATTTGGGATTCATCGGCTGGATGTGCATGCATTCCAGAGTTGATATTCACTGCGGGACTCGAACCGAGTACCGTTCGATTCAAACATCATTGCGTTATCCATCTAACTACCGAATCCAGATAGTCATTAAGCTTATGCGATGCGATGAATTTTATAAGAATTATTTGTTTAAACTGACTTATTAAGGTGAATTCGGTTTATCTTGTTGATTTGACATGTACAACATACTAATTCTTCCTTGTTTAATCTGCTCACAGTTCAATATTTCAACCCAGTAGTTCCCCATTCCATCTCATCTGTTAATTACTTTAGTACATGTTTACAAACTGTAAATACATAAAACTATTCTGTTTACCTTTAATATGTTAAATCAATCTCCCCTTTTCTCAAACGGTACTCAGTTTTATTTCTTCATCTTTGAATGATTGTTTACTTATAAAGAATTTAACCCCATCCCCCCCCCCAAAAAAAAGACACTAAATTTAATTATCAATAAGTTAGTGTTTAGTCTTATTAAGAATTTTTTTCTCTTAATCTGGTATATTCATAATCAATTTCATTTTTTACAATAGAATCTAGTTGATTTATTATACACAATCCTTATACTTGTATTAGGGATACTCTTAAATGTTCTTGTTGTCATGAGAAGCAATAATTTAATCCCTAAAATATAATTCAATTAAATTTGTTTGCTTACCTATATAAATAATCATTATTATTACTACTTCATTTAGGTGCTTTAAAGTAGGTAAGTTTAAATGCTTAGAATATTCTATTATTCAATATACTTCAGTGTTGAATAAGTGTCATCTAAGATAATTCATCACATTCAGAGCATTGATTTTCATATTAAAGGTGAAATATTCACCAAATTAGAAATTCGTATATATTATGATTCTATCCCAAGAAAACTATTCACAAATCTATAATATCGAATAAAAATTATATCCATTGTACTACTATGAAATGATTTTCATAAAATCCACTATATTAAGCTTTTGTATTCCAAACAATATGAATCTGTATCGGTTGAACTTATATAAATCAGATAAAGCATAAATCATTTGATCAAAACTGTTAATTAATGATATTTATCAGTATGAAGTTATGAAGACTATTAAATTTTTACCGAGATGACAATTCAAATTTAAGTTGAACATTTATTCACAACTTTGAAGTACTGAATAGCCGTTTCTTCCTAGTACAGGACTCCTTAGCAGTGCGCATCCACGACCTCTAACGTGGAACTTGAAGCCGGGATCTTCGATTTCGCACACAGACGCTTAACCTGTAGACAACTGATCCATGGTACAAAGGTATACAAGTCTAATTTAGAAATGAACATAATGGGACCCCAACTCATTGATCTAGAGTCTAAGCATCTGGACGCTAAAACTAAGGTCCCGGACTTGGTCCATGAATGCGGGGTCACGGAAGCATACTGCTATAAAGTACCACTCTAGAACGAAACCGTCGTCTAGTGCTCCCCAGTTTTCAATGATGGTTTTACTTAGATTTGTTTGTAACCTTAAAAAAACAACAATACTTTAATAATCAGCTGAAATCGGGTTTTACTCATTTCATATTGCGCATCACTATAGCTTTTGCCTGCATAGATTTTTACAGCTCTATTGTGTGGTGCTTTTATCACAATACAAATATTATAACTGTGTTTGCATAAATATAAAAAGTCACTTGTATCATTAAAATGATATTTAATAAGTTTTCTTTTGTGTGTATGGAAATTTCTATTGATTTTTGTAGGTACAAATCTTTACTATCATTTTGTCCCCGTATCTTGTTGCTTAACTAAAATTGATGGTTTGACTGGATTCCCTTTACAAATTTATCGTAATAAGAAACGTTGTCAAAATTGGCAATACGGTCCACCAACACTCCAAGATGGTCCACATAATGATGCATTATATTATCGAGTAAGTTGACTAAAGTTCTGTATAGGCTATTTCAATGTTTTATTTCGTGATACAATCGATTATACGAATGAATTACGTATTCTTTAATTACCAATATTACAGTGAAATTGTTTAAATAGATTTGATTGGTTAGAAACATTTTATATTTCATCATGAACTGATCTTGTTTTCTTTTCAGTAAATTTCATTAAAATTAAGGTGCATAGGGTACTACATGCGGGACTGGAACCCAGGGTTTTAACCGCTCACGAGCGCTCAAACCCTAGACCACTGGATCTGTACTCAACAGTGTTAATGTGTAACATCAGTCAATCCATGGAATCGTGCGACCATCTTCCGTTGTGTTCGGCGAGGAACTGCCTAACACCCGACATGGTTGAACTCTACTGACCACAGCTTCTCACTAGAACTCCGAAATTACCTCTCGAAGCTACTCACTAGTAAGCACGTGATGATTATCAGTACAGGGTTGTGGAGATTGTTGTTAAACTTTTGTCCCGTTTGTTCACTTTGACTATGTTGTTTACGTTACGTTCTTAATCCTGTAGAGCCGATTTGAAAAGAACTGACTGATAACTCGATGAATGTATTTATCCATCAACAAACATGCCAATAATGAGGATATTATGTTCTAAATTATTAGAAAATTTAAAAACTCCATTAAAACAAGAAATTCGTTGGTAAGCTAGGAGAAACCTAGTGGCAGCCAAGTCAAAACATGACATCAATCCATTAAGTCAATTGGATAACCAAATTAACAGATGTAGACTATCTGGTTGTGATCCGCGTAATTATCGCAACCAGTGGTTAGAGACTTTGAATGATACGGCTTAAAATCGTTTGCGATGCTACAGATGTATCCTTCGTCTTTCCGAAGATTCTAAGCTTCTAAATTCCTCGCAACTTCCACTACACTGATTTATATGTTTTTTTCTATTGCCACTCAAATTGTTACTACCCTAACTTCTCTGGGATCTACACTGACAGTTTCACCTCCCTCTGTGGAGGTATGGCAACTTAGGCCGATATACACACGTGCCAGGTTCTACGATGAGACTGACTTCAAATCATTCGGGCGGCTTGCATCAATAATATGGTTTCATGAGTAGTCTACACTTCCTCACAATCCTTATTATAAGATATTACCGAGCAATCGATATTTCCTTGCATTTTAACTGCTGAAATATAGTTCTTCAAATACAAAAATCCTAAGCCATAACATCATGTTCTTTTTTTAAGGGCTGTTATAACCTACTTGTCGACTATATTAATGCATACGCTGAATATATACTCGGAATGGGATTGACAGCTGTTATTTTATTGGTAAGTGTTTCATAGAATCTGATGTCTAAATCAATGAGTTACTTATCAGCTTCATTTATATGCACGAACGTGTAATAAAAATCTAATTCAGTCAAAACTTGAATTGATAATTTATTGGTTTACCTGTTCGTAACCTCAATAAATGAGTAAGACTACTTGCATCAGAGACTCAGTTCAGTAATGAAGCGTGATAATTGGTTAGAAAACATATGTAAAGCTATTTATAATATTGACTACATTTACTGAGCTAATATACTTCCTATGGCAAAAATTAAATCAAAATGACAATTTTTCCGAGCCTGAAATATAAACAGAACATGTAGAGTTAATATCTTTATCTGACTAAGTGAGACGTTGACATGTTTGTACAATTTTTTTAACAAAACGCTATATATCCTCTGAGAACACTGACAAATTTAAAAAGACTACCAGGTTGCAGATAGGAATACCGCACTCCCTACGTCGTTTTACGCTGTTGGGCAAGTGCAACTAGCCCTCAAACAAAAAATATTGACCAAAGTCGAACACACATTTCATCCAATTAGTAAATAACTTTAAACTTGAAGTTTACACTTACACTTAAACTACAGTGATACTGAAGTATGTATGTGGAGAACTTATTAGCAAATAGAGACTAAAGAACGTGAAAACAAAACCTTTGTTAATTCAAACAATAAATTCAAAAGTCCAACAATATGTTAGTTTATAACGTGGTTGGATAGTATTTTAGTAATTAGATTCAAATATTACAATTTTTTTTGAAAATGTTCAAAGTAGAGAGAGATTGAGAGTTGTAGTCTCCGTTCAACAAACTAACTAATAAATACCGGTATTCCAACGTCGTAATAAAAAAATATATGTTAACGTGGCTTATTTACCAAGTAGTAGACTTGTATACCTTGAACCAATGTTTATTTAAAGGTTAATCATACTACTCAGTGAGTAAAAGTGAAATAGGTAAGAAGTGAGGTTCGGTCCCGTAACTTCACTAACTGAAATTTGCCAACTTTAATCATTTGAGCCATTCCTTTGTAAGAAACTACTTTCCTTCATATCATTTTCTCATAGATAACCGTATTTCTGTTGCTGCTACGCGCAGAACTTAGGAATAATCCAACTGATCTACGAATATACGACACAAACTTACTAAAAAACAATCAGAATAATTATTACGTTGATAATAAGTAACCTGCACAGATTTTCAAAGAATGCCAAATTTTAATGACCCGTCATCAGTTCAATCATTTGACCCTCCATTAAAGTCTCTCAATTTAATTACTACTCGAAAACTCTACACGTCGACTCAATTATCTATGTCAACAGCAACTACCAGGAGTTGGTCGCTAATCCTTTCACATAAAATAAATGTGACTAACACATACCACATGGCTGTCAAGCTTTTTCGAAAATAATTCCTTTTGCATTTCACAGTCCCATACATGACAAATGAATATATACTTTTGTAATCTTTGCTGTATATACTTTCTAACCTGTATAGATCTTTCTCTAACATGTTTGCAATTTTCTTGTATGACTTTGGCAATACATTATGAGATGTAACTGTCTCGGAATAAAAACCAACTGATTACAATAAATACAGACTTATCAATTATTTTAGTTTACATTTTATGCTAGAGTTCCTTTATCATCTTGTAAACTTCAATATTTGTTGTAACAAAGCCAGGCAATTTACTAGCTGCTTATCTATTCATTGATGGTACAATAACTCGGGTTGCAGAATTGTAACTGTACTATGATTTCGAAAGTAAAACGCGAACCAAGAGTGAGATTGTACCACAAAAATGCAGAGCTGTATGCTCTCAACGAAAGTTGAGTATCTCAAGAAAAATCAAAAAGTAGGAGTCACTAGGAGTCAAACAGTTGGGTTGTGCAACCAATGAACTCACTACCTTGAATCTACCACACCTCGTGATAAATCTGCACACCCGCTGAAGTCTCACCCAACTAGTATATATTCAGTATAATTTTATTTGGTATCCGAATTTATTATTATTAGTCGCCACTGTGAAACACTACACATTCGAGAGTATCAGTCAATGAACATCCACGTCCCTGACGAGTACTTTTTTGCTCAGAACCGAAGTATGAACTGATAAAATCACTACTCATAACTTTATTCTGAAAACATTTGCATTTTGCACTTGTTGTATGACGGGTGTATTCGAAGCACCACTCGTAAGTAGTGGGATGACAGCAATTAATGTTGAGGTTAAGAGATTGATAACACTGAATTATAATCGAATGAAGCAATTAGATGATGTACCACTCGTACTAGAACATGATCTCAGGAAACCCACGCTTGTTAACACGAGTGAATTGAAAAAATGGAAAATACCCACCAGTTAACACATTTATTGGTTGTAGTCCGAGAAAAAAGTAGTCAATTTGAATACACGTTTGTCTTGGAATCAAGCTAGCGAATAACTGTGTCCTCTATATTTCGAAAGCGTCTGTTTTGAAGTCAAAGCTAGTAGTATATATATAGCCGTTGATACGTCACAATTACTATTTAATCTTCCTCAACCTTGGGTTCTAATATTATCTCACGCTAGTTATCCCTCTATTTCATCCTGTCTTTTCAAAACATTTCTTCTAGTTCTAGTCGTTGAACCTAATACGAATACTTTCCAACCCATCTTACTATTACTTCACCTTCCTGATGTGGTATATCCTTTACAGACCCACAAGTCCGCCGATTATTACTAACAGAAATAAGCTTGAAGGCCTTTATTTTTGTGGATGTCTGGAAATCGAGTTTTGCTCCTTTGTACTGGCCAGTTTTTACATAGATATTCAAAGACTGACCCAAAATATGCAACTACGTATTGTTTGCTACTTGATTCAATATCAATATTACTGAACATCACACTACAAAACCCATATGAGCTAACAAATAAACCGTACAAAAAGATTAACCACCTGCTGGAATATTTGTTTGCATATATGAATAAATACATATGAGACACTACTGGAAAAACACTAAAATAATGTCGCACTCTAGACTAAAAAGATATTGATATATTCATTATTTTTACTCAGTGATACCCTACACGTAGCTAGTCTGCTCTTGAACCTAGCTCGGAACCAACGTGCGCAAACATGACTGGAGAAAATCGTAATGAGTTCTTTTCATTTTCCATCGGTAAAATACAACCTTCATAAAAATGCACATTTTATAAGAAATAATCCGGTGATACTCAACCATGTTATATTTGGGTCGATGCACTTTGCAGCAAGCCTGAGTTTACCTGCACTTAGCTTCGCTAGCACATCTATCGTCATGAATATAGAATAACTGTCTGGAAATTATGAACAAAGATGAATTCGATGTATGAGATACATAATGGACTACCGCGTGAAATTTCAAATGCAAAATAGAATAACCCGTTAACAAAGACGCGTTTACCCTCAATATCCGTAAAACACTTTAATGAGAATATTCACACGCATGTATACATAGGAAGTGACGATAGCTGACTGCGTTAGATAACCATAACATGATAAGCGATGCAATACTTATTATTTATTTAAACACAAACACTAGTAAAAGGAGGCGCGAAAGATATGCGCCACATAAATCATTCGATTTATGCGAGGGCTGGAATACAGCCCGGGTGTAAACCGAAGCAATGACACGGTTGGATCCAGATGCAATACGGACCGACCACCCGACGCTCATAACCTTAGTATTAGAAATTAAAGCAAAGTCATCGTAGCAATGCCCATGAGAAACGGTATGTTCTTCACACAAACAGGGAGAGGACTAATTCACATTAGTAGGAACCAGAAACAATTACAATTATAGATTGTCGAGTATACCCATACTTACGAGCAGTAGGATGTTCAAATCCCACTTTACAATGGCTAAATATTGAATTAAAATTACTGGGTATAACCAGACAGATCTAGATAAATGCTTGTTAATTACACAAACAACGCTGGAAATCGATCACTTATTGTGAGATAACTACACATGTGCCGAGCATGAGCGAGAAAACTATACTGCAAACAGAACACGAAATAGCTCGAATGAATAAATGTCTTCTTGCAGCATCCGAAGATGCTCAACGAAATTTCAGACGGATAAATATGACAGTAACAGAAAAATTAATTAAGAGGACAAGCAAATTTCAGTTATGTTGCACTCATGTCAACTAATCGATCCTTGAGAATGCATGATATCCGTGCTTTTTAATAAGACCTGAAAACATCTAATCTAACAGTTTTGGATGAACGTCGCAGCAACTTAAACGGTAGGCGTCAAAATTCTTAATTAAGGAGCTTGTGACAAACCTACTGTTTTTATAAGACATCGGACCTGAGCTTGACTATTTACAGTACAAATAAACGCGATGGAGTAACATTGAAAGAAATCGACCCAGATCATTCATGAATTCAAAATACTAGCATCTGAACCGTACTTCATTTATTTTCAAGTGTACTAATCAAATAGCCCAAAGCCCATATCTTCGTCTGATTCGGACTCTTCTTTGACCTCCACCTTTGCTGGCTTGACTTCTTGTGGGGCTTCAGTCTTACTTGGTGCTGCCGCAGCAGGTGCAGAAGAGACAACAGCACCGGATGATGGTATGGAGGATAACTTCGTAGATCCTTCAGCAATTAGTTGTGGTATATCTTTGCCAGATATCGAAGACAACAGCTACAAAGTTAACTTATAACTGCTAACTTACTTTCTCGAGTCTCTCAGAATCATGTTCAATGCCAACAGAATTGAGGACAGTTTTGATATCATTTTCAGTAGGTTTCTCCTTACCACCTAACTGACAGAGAAGAAACGCAGCCAAGTAACGCATCACGCCTGAAATTCACTAATTCCGCGAGTAGCTGTTAGCCGGAAAGTAACAAAACAAAGGGTTCAATAATTTGTGAATCCTTATTGTGATACTCATACTGTTAACTCTGGAGTACTAGTTCTGCGTTATGCGCAAGAATACACGGCTTAAAATTGAAACTTTGCTGAACAGTGAAAGGAAACTGCATGTTCCTTTATATATTTGTCAGGGATGTTATGGACAAATTTCATTGATGGTGTATTTTCGAACGAGAAGTTTAGTCCTAAAGTGGTTTGCATTTATCAAACTTTTGCCGTGTTCTTACGCAACAAAAGCACCATATCTGATCAAAAGAATCTATCCTGAACTATACGTTCGGTAGATTACTTTTTTTAGTTTTACACAATTTAATAGTTAACTGTGGTTTCGCTTCAGCTTACTATCCGTTTTTTTCAGTTTTTCACGTAAAGGCTAGTTCAGTTTATCTCATCCGCTTTTATCCATTTTTGTCCGTTTTCAGTGTGTTTTCTAGTGTACTTTTAACGGTCTTCGGCTTTTGCTAGCATCTATAATACAGTTTACTTCAATATAGTCATGAAAAATTCATGCAAATGACCTTGGTACCGTCTCGCTGTTCCATCTGGCATGCAGTGCGATAACTGCGAAAGTTGATTTCATGAAGCGTGCACACATCTCATAGCAACAGCTTACAACAGACTCTGCAAGCCAGATCATAAGTGGGTAAGTGTTATGTGCAACACGGATGCCATAGTTTTGCTGTGTAACATCATTGTCCTACTGACAGGTCTGCGGAATAAGTTGTCAGCCAACTTGGAAAAAGACAGTCATAAAACGGGTAGGCAAACAAAGACGCGCAATGAAGACGAGAATAGGGATGTCGACAGGTCTACCATCGATGGAGCATGCATTAGCATAAGTAATGACAGGCTGGAACTCAGTACCATCATAACATCGACGGTAATAGACTCCCTCAGCAAGCTTGGGTCTTCCTGCACAGAGTGCTTTAGTGTAACAGTGGTACCCAAAAACTCTGTAGGCGATTAGACCAACGTTAACAAAGCTAAAAAAGCCAGGTGTCACCGTCTAAACTGAACATCCCAAGTATTGTAAGGAAATCATTTGGTGACTTCGCCGCACAATCTACTCCCAAGAATGTCCGTCCGTTACCAAAGAGCCTGGGAATCAGAAAAGCACTTCGACCTCCAAACAACTAGGTGCTGAACCTGAACGCTCCGGAAAACCTGGGAAAATAATAACAGTTCGTGATGACTCTCTCATAATCAAGAACCTCAAAGGCAATCCTGACCTTCCTCTTAGTTTGCAGGACAAGAATGACAGGATGCTCCAGAGAGAATTAAACAAGAAGCTTAAACTTCCTAGAATGCAGTCTTTGACTGTCACAGAGATTATTCGGGGAAAAGACTCTAAGCATCAAAGTCACCCGAGGCTACTTTGTGTAACACTTCTAGTATGTCCTGTTAGCTAGTCATCTACCAAGATCCGATGGCAACGTAAGAATAATGCCCGACATACCGTATTCTGAGCGCAATCTCAACCGGAATATCTCTAAATAATGTCGCGAGAAGCTTTTCTGCGGAAGAAATATAACTGTGCAAGGTGTACCGGGAAACACCGACCCTAGTCAAACAAACTCTGATATTAGGGAATGGAATTTCATCAAGCAATCCCTGAGGCTCAAAAACATACTGACTCAACATGTGATGAGACTATCCAAAAAAGTCGGAGATTCTAAAACCCGGCTAATGAAGATAACTTT